TTTTTTTTGGTTTTTCTCCGGTACCAGGAACCGAACTCACGACCTTGCGCTTGCCAGGCAGGCGCTTTGCCGCTGAGCTAAATCCCCAGCCCCCCGCTTTTTCTTAAGTGGCCTTGCGGTGGTTCCTTTCTGCATACGTCTCTGTGTATCTGTTTGAGAACTGCTATAGGGTCCCCTGGGGTTAGTGTCCTGAGCCATAAAAGATACACATTTACAATTTTAAGTTGGGGATGTATCTTAATGGTAGAGCACGTACCTAACGTGTGCAAGGCCCTGGATTTGAGCCCCAGTACGGGAATCCAGAAGCAAGCATATTTTTGTGGGATGTCTTTGCTAAATGGTTGCACTGTATTTCCACTAGTAGAGTATCCTGATTATCTTTGGCTAGACTAATCTTTCTAATCATTTTCTTCCCCCTTTTTTGGAGACAGAGTCTTACTATGTAGTTCAGGCTGGCCTCAAACTCATAGCAACCCTCCTGCCTCAGCCTCCCAAGTGCTGGTATTATAGGTGTGCACCACCCTATCTGGCTACTAAAACTGGTTTTCTGTATCAAAGTCTTTGTTGTGGTTTCTTTTTAGCAGCGCTAGGGCTCAAACCCAGGGGAGCTCACCACTGACCCATACTCCCAGCCCTTTTTATTTTTTATTTTGAGACAGGTTGTCTCATAGGAGATCTTCCTGCCTCCGCAGGTGGAATCACAGGTGTGCACCATTGCATCCTGAAGAATGTCATATTTTCCTTTTCATCAGAGTTTGTCAGCCTCTCTGGAAATCAGTCGTAAATGGTAAAATGCCTTCCAGCTTCTCAGACACAGTGTGCTTCTGTTTCAGTACAATCAAGGAAAACAAAAATGCCTCTGAGATCGTCAAGACGGTGAACTTGCTGATCTCGTCACTGAGCACCGACTTCCTCTGGGATTATATGACCAGGTGCTTCGAGGAGTGCTTCAGGTGTGCGCAGGTGGCCCGGTGCAGAGGGTGCAGGTGTGAGGGCCGAATGCCAGGCATGGTGCAGGATCCCCCAAGTGGCCGAGGCGGGGTGGTCTCCGCTGAGCTACGGAGAGCAGCCAGAGCAGGCCTGGGAAGAATTGGCTGATGATCCTGATAGAACGGAGAACATTTCTGTGAGGAAAATTCACAGTCTTTGCCGCATAACTCAGCAGCTGCCTTGTTTATTACTGCCTTGTAGAAAATCTCCGCGCGTTTCCCAGTTACCTTCTCCCAGACCTGCCCTGGCAGCCCGACCTCCTTAGCTCATCCTAGGTTCACGTCTCTGGGCCGGAGAGCGAACTTTGAAGTCTTCAGTCTTCTTAAATTCTTACTGAAATTAGTGTACAGCGGGCCAGATAAAAGCATTAATGTAATCAGCTCTGCATTACTTTGAAGCTGGTGGTGAATTGCATGACTTCCTAATCATGGGTGGGGACAGCAGGCTTTCCTGGAGAGCCTTTCCCATCCTGTCTTCTTTTTTTTTTTTTTTTTTTTTTTTGTCTTTTTGAGACAGGGTCTTGCTTTGCAGTTCAGGCTGGACTTGCGCTCACTTTGTAGCTCAGGCTGGTCTCAAACTTGTAACTATCCTCCTGCATCAACCTCCCAAGTGCTGGGATGACAGGCATACACTACCGCGCCCGGCTTCCCTCTTCTTTTTTATTTTATTTTATTGATTGGTTGGCTGGTATTTTGAGACAAGGTTTTGCTATGTGATTCAGACTAGCCATGAGCTCACTGTGTAGCCCATGGCGATCCTCCTGCCTCAGCTTTGTTGGTGCTGGGGTTACAGCACCACATCTGGCTCCTCATGCCACCTTTGTACAGGGGGACAAATGGCCTCTCATGAGTACGGTCCTGAGGAGCACGCTGTGAACCTTGCTGTCCACTGTGACCCTTGGGCTTCTCCCTGTCCTTCCTGTGCCCAGCAGCCATAGCAGAAGCTTTCTGAAACATTTCCGTGTGTGTCCTGTGGCTGGCAAGCCTTAGTTAACCCTCTGGACCAGCCCAGAGGGCAGCAGGCACTTTGTTGTCAAGCTTTTGCCGTGAGGGAGTAGTTCCGGGAAGCACGTTGTCTGCGTCCCACGGCACAGGGCAGCAGCCTGGACCCCAGCAGGGCCCGAGCTCGGAGTCCCCTGCCCGCTGGCCCCCACAGCTCCCCAGCACTGGGCCCACCCAGGCCTACTCCTTGGGCAGAATTAACTGATCACCACAAGACCGTGTGATACTGGGTAAGAGAATGCTTGGGTCAGCTTGGCTTTTTTTTAATTTGTGAAATTTTTTTGGTGGTTCCAGAGATCAAAGCCAGTGCTGTGCAGTGCTGGTCAGCTGCTCGTGGCTGAGCTCAGCCCCCGGGGCCCCTTTGTGTTTTGTGTTGTTTTTTAAGAACTTGATGTTGCTCCCCTCCCCGCTTATTCCTCTGCTTCCCGTGACGTCATTGGGCGCTGTCACAGCACGTCGTCTCTGTGTAAGGGATAGTGTGGAGCAGGAGTGTCTGCCAGCACTGTTGTGGGGGCAGTGGCCCCTTGGAGATGTTTTTCTAAAAGTTTTTCCTTTCGGTGTTTTATCTTTATCAGCTGACGTTCGTAGTCCGTAAGGGTCACGGTCAGGGTGGGGGCCGGCGCGCACACGTAACAGACCGCCCTCTCTCACACCCATCCCTCCCACCCGAGCCGGCTCTGTGTCCCTCGCACCCACCCTTTCAGCCTGTCACGGTCCGAGGCGCCAGTGACCCCGCTCGCTCCTGACGCGCGCACATCTCTTCCCGCTGCACGCGTGGCCAGCTCTGTGCCTTGGGAGTTCTCTTCCCAAGGTGGGCTCTAAGAGGACGAGTGCTGACTTAGGAAGGAGGAAACTAAGTAGGTGGCCTCACACAGAACAGCTGGTCGGCGCCCAGGGACCCAGTTGTCTCTTGGCGTCCGTGGGAATTGATTCCGGGGTCCCTTTGGCTCGGGCGCCTAGTGGGCAGCGCAGTACTTGCGTGTGGCCCGGCCGCCTGTGTGCTTCAAACCATCTGCAGCGGCTGACTCCAGCATCCGAGAGCCCTCCGTGCTCGTGTCTGGAATGGGGTCACTTCACTAGAAATCGTCAGGGGCTTGAAGTTCTGATGGGGAAAGGGCTAACTGGTTCTCCTTTCTTGTGGTTAACGCAGACCAGCGAAGCCGGATAACACTGCCGGGAAACCCGTCGGGCCTCCGCCCACCGTCTCGGAGCTCTGCACTCTGCTCGTGTTTCTCCTGGACGTCATCCCCTTGGTATGCAGGGACTACGGAAAGAGACGGCTCAGGGCTTACTGTTGTTGTGTTCTTAGGCCAGGCGCAGTGGTACACACCTATAATCCCAGCACTCAGGAGGCTGAGGCAGGAGGATCACCCAAGCTCAAATCCAGCCTGGGCTGCATAGTGAGACCCTATCTCAAAAAACCAAAAGAAAACTTTTGTTGTTGTACACTTACTAGTGTGGTTGGCCTGTTTTATAAGCCTACATTTTCTAAAACGTAGCCTTACGTAAATAAAAGATACCATTTCTATGCTTATTTTGGTACCAATAAATGAGCTTGAGCTGATCTCTTTTTTCTTTTTTGTTGTGTTGGTGGTGGTGCTGGGGTGGAACCCAGGGCCTCATGCCTGCCAGGCAAGCTCTCTGCTGCTGAGCTGTCCTCTCATAACTTGGAAGCCCTTAATTAAGACATAAAAGTAAAAGAGGGCTGGGGGTGTAGCTTTGTGGTAGAGCACTTAGCTGGCATGTGCAAGGCCCAGGGTTCAATTCCCAGGGCTGTGAAAAAAAATCAGTAAAAGGGGTTGTATGTAACTTTTGAGGCATGGTAAATGGGCCCAGCTAAAGTTATATAAACTGGATGATGAACTGAAACTGCAGCTCTTTAGGGATGAGAATAAATACATTTTTAGTTAAAATTGTACAGTTGGATTATTTTCTTGAGGGAAATTAATTTTTTAAGTATAGGAATGTGTCAGTTTTACTATTTTCTCTTAGGAGGGGTAAAACCACTTGAAGAGAGAGACATCCTTGATTTGTCTAGCTCAAAAGAAAATATTAGAGCCACGTGTGGTGGTATACTCCCATTATCCTAGCCATTTGGGAGGCTGAGGCAGAAGGATTGCCAGTTCAAGGATCCTGGGCAACTTAGCAGAACCCTGTCTCAAAAAGTAAGGAGGGAGTAGAATTTTTCTCTTTCTTCTTTTTGAGACAGGGTCTTGCTATATAGTTCAGGCTGGCCTTCAACTCACTGTGTATCCCATGCTGGCCTCGAACTCACAGCAGTCCTCCTGCCTCAGCCTTCCAAGTGCTAGGATTACAGGCATGCACCACCACGCCCAGCAGTACTTTATTTTCTGATTTGGGAATTAATGTGAAACCTACATTCCAAAAACCAGAGATGTGTAAGACACTAGATTGAGGAGCATCTTCCTGACCAGAGACTGCCTGTGTGAGTAACCACGCTTTGTCTTCACAGGAGCTCTACTCGGAGGTACAGACCCAGTACCTCCCGCAGGTGCTGGGCTGCCTGCTGCGGCCTCTGGCCGAGCAGGTGGAGGCCTTGAGCTTGCCTGAGCTCACACACGCCCTGAAGACGTGTTTCAAGGTGCTCAGCAAGGTCCAGATGCCGCCCTCCTACCTGGACACGGAACCTGCAAGCGGAGGCTTGGTACGTGCCACGGCGGGAGCTCGGGGGCCAGGGAGGGGCGCTGATGAGGGGGTGTCCAGGGAGGCGTCAGAGATGCACATTGCACAGCGAACACCAGGTTTCGGGGAGCTAAGCCCCCACATGCTGCCCAGCCACTGTCAGTGACCACAGCCTTCTGCTCGGGGCCGGTGTTTGTATGTTTGAATGTGCGTGACTTGGGTTATCTAAAATGCAAACCCTAGCTTGACTTGCTGGGGTTCCCTGACAAAGCCCCAGAACCTGGGCGGCTGATCCAGCAGAGATTTCTTTCCTCACAGCTCTGGAGGTCAGTGTGCAGAGGAACCACGCCCGCTGTGGCTTCGTCTCATGATCCATGGCACCAGCCTCTGCCTTTGTGGGCATGTGGTGCTTGCCCCATGTGCATGTCTTGTCTCTGATCTCCAGATTTCCCTTTTTCATTGTTTTTAAAGGTTTTTTGTTTTTTGTTATTTTGAAACAGTGTCTCGCTATGTAGTGTAGGCTGGCCTTGAACTCACTATGTAGCCCAGGCTGGCTTCAACCTCTCAGAGACCCCTTTGCCTCAGCCTCCTGGGTTCTGGTACTACAGATATGCACACCACGCCCAGCACAATTTCCCCTTTTTACAGTGATGAAGTCAGGTTGAATCTGAACTCATCCTACTGGCCCCTTCTTAATCTTCTGCAGAGGCCCTATGTACTGGAAGTAAGGGCCCCAACATGTTTTGGGGGCCCAGTTTGATGTATAATACACACTGTTTTGTGACTTGTCCTAGCTTTTAATTTATTGAAATAATATTTTGGCGACATCCTTGCATATCAATATAAGTAAAGGTATTTTATTTTTTACTTTCTGGATAATAGTCTGTGGTATGGATTATAATTTATTGTTTCCCGTTGATGTATTTAGCTTCTTTCCTGTTTTTCTCTGTTAAAACCGTTTCCGGTCTGCACCCTGCACACGGGTGCTGCTTGCTGTGGGTTACTTCCGGTCAGCGCATTGCAGTGGATAGGCACACACGCTTAATCTGTGAGAAATGCTGCCTGCTTGTCTGCTGAAAAGACTAACGCTGACAGACCCGCGAGCAGCGTGATGCCCATGGTCTTTGGAGTGTTTCGCCTTCATCTCTTTTGGGGGATTTGAAAATTTTGCCTTGAGCTCCGCTTAGTGCTGCAGGCGCTGACGGCGAAGCCGTGAGAAGAGCTGTGTGGTTGGATCCTGGCTGGAGACGAGTGAGCTGCCAGCGCACAGGCTGCAGGTTGTAGCCCCAGCTGAGAAGTTAGTTCTCTCTCCTTCCTGGCCACCCTAGCTACGAGGGAAAATTCTGAAAATGTAAAGCCTGAGTATCTATAGCTTACAAGTATGAATAGCAGTCTGCTCGAGAAGTCACGCTGCCGCCTCATTCTTCCTAGAGAGCACCGGAGAGGGAACGCGAAGGAGTTTCAGATTTAATGTGATGTTATCTGAGGGGCAGTGTGGGGAACGAGAGACGGGTGATTCGTTAATGGTCGCAGTGGTATCGCTTTGGGAAAGCCCGTGTGTGTGTGTGTGTGTGTGTGTGTGTGTGTGTGTGTGTGTGTAATGCGTGATTAAAGTCTGTAAAAATTACTAAGTAAAAGACACTGCCATGAATCCCCTCCAGACCCCCCCACTGTGAGCACGTTACCCAAGGTCGTTCTTGCCACTTTCTGGAACAGCCGTGGGAGTCACCTTTGTGTCTCTATGTGAGGGTCACAGGTACAGTGGCTGCTGCCCAGGGCCATCCAACAGAAACGCAGCTCCTGAAAACGTGACGCTGTGTCCTCATCCACCTTGTTTGCTGGATCTGGCACCGTGTGGCTTCCAGCTCCTCCCCGAAGTCAAAATGACCATGACAGGGAAATGTTTTGAGTTGATTGAGAACGCCAGGGCAGCCAGGACAGCGCAGCTGCAGACACTCAGGAAAGAGGACTCCAGCTGCCGCAGGAAGTGGCAAGAGTGCCGAGCGAGGTGTGTTCAAAGCAGAGGGGGACATTCTGAAGAGGGTTCACAGCAAGGTGTCTTACTGTAGTCGTTTTTAAAAAAATATTTAATCTTTCACTTTTAGGGGGGTTGGTTTTGTGGGGTACTTTTGTTTTGGTTTTTGGAGACAAGGCTCGCTCCATAGTTCAGGCTGGTATTGAGCTCACTATGGAGCCCAGGCTGGCCTCAAACTCATGGCACTCCTGCCTCAGCCTCCCAAGTACATCCGGACACCACCATGACTGGCCCGCATTCACTATTTCTCAGTCACACCTTGTATGCGTCGTATGCATAGTTACGTTGAGGATCCCTTCTCTGAAATGCTTAGCACCAGAAGTGTTTTGATTTGAGACATTTTTCAGATTTAAGAATATTTACATATACATGATGTATCTTTTGTGTGTGTGTGTGTGTTTTTGAGACAGGGTCTCGCTATACAATTCAGGCTGGCCATGAGCTCACTTTGTGGCCCAGGCTGGTCTCGAACTTCCAATAATCCTCCTGCCTCAGCCTCCCCAGTGCTGGGATCACAGGCGCGTGCTACCATGCCTGGCCATGACATATCTCAAGGATGGGGCACGAGTCTAAACACAGGATTCCTTTTATGTTTTGTGTACACCTTATACACAGAGCCTGCAGGTAATGTATTTTTGTGGTCGATCAGTTGGCTGACGATACTGACCAGATACTTACTGGCCACATGTTGTAGAAAACACATAAAACAAATACAGAAAAGTTGGTTCCACCCCCTCGGACCCTCTTTCTCCCCCTAAACACCTGTCATTGTGATTTGGTCGGAGCAGGGCTCAGAGACCTGAGAGCAGTTCTGGACAGTATTTTCAGGGCATCTGTGTTACGACTGTGACACGTTACAGGTCCGGTGTGGGCTTTTCCGGTGGCCTCATGTCAGCACCTAAAATGTTTGGGATTTGGAGCATTTTAGATTTTTAGTGTCCGGGTTAGAGCTGCGCAGCCTGTCCCTGTGTCTCGTGCCGGCTTCAGACGTTGTCGTGGCGCCCACTCTTACGTCTTTATCCCTTTATTTTACCCCCAGCCCCTCCTGCACCACTGCCCTCGCTTCATCCGCTCACACGAGGGCTCGCTAGGCACAGGGCCCTAGGGTTTGGAGGAACGGGTTTGAAATACGTGCCTGGTCAGCTGATTCTTGAATCCCTTGGCCTTAAGAGCTGTGTGATAGAATTTCTTCTTTATTCATTATTATTTGCAGAGTCCGGTAAAAGGCGAACATGGCGAAATCATTTTAGAAACGAAGGCAGTGGTGGCTGGTGATGAGGAGACGCCGTTCCCCCCTCTGAAGTCTGAGGACAGCGGGATCGGGCTCAGTGCCTCTTCGCCGGAGCTGTCCGAGCACCTGCGTGTCCCTCGGGTCTCTCCGGAGAGAGACGACATCTGGAAGAAGGGGGGCAGCATGCAGAGGACGCTTCTGTGCATCCAGGAGCTCATCGCCAACTTCGCCAGCAAGAACATCTTTGCGGTGCCAGCACCCGCGCCCGGAGAGGAAAGCAGGTCTGAGGAGCCCGCAGGGAGGAGAGGCAAGGGCGCGGCGCCGAGAACCGGGGCCAGTGACTCCGGCAGGAAGAACTCGTGGGAGACCAAGCCCGTCACCGTGCCCCAGTTTAAGCAGATACTGTCAGACCTGTTCACGGTGCACGGGTCTCTGTTTAAGACAAAAAGTTCGGAGTCACCGACATCTCTGCCCAGTAGCCCGGGCAGGAAGACAGGAGGAGGATGGGAGGCTGACCGCGTGGTCCTTGACCTGGGGGGCTCCAAGGAGCACTGCAGGGAAGCCTTCGCCGCCGCCTGCCATCTGCTGCTGGACTGTGCCACCTTCCCCGTGTACCTGTCCGAGGAGGAGACCGAGCAGCTCTGCGAGACGCTATTCCAGCCCCCAGGTGAGGGGGCACCCCTGAGCCCCTGGCTGGGATGCTGTCACTGAGGCGGTGGACATTCACAAACCAAGACCCACCAAAGTTGTGTCCAGCAAGAAGGGGCCACAGGCAGTGCACCCTAGTCCAAATGCTCTAGAGTCCAAAACTTCCTGAGCACTGGTATAATCTCAGAGCATTTGGACAAGAGATGCTCAGCCAGGAAAGTCTATGTAAACACATAGTCTGAGATCCAAAAAACCCCAAAATCTGAGACGCTTCTATTCCCAAGCCGTTTGGGTAAGTGATACTAATTTGTGTATGGTTGTTTGTTTGATTTCTTGGTGCTGTAGATTACGTGGCAAGATTACCAGTCATTGCATGGCCATTTAGTAAGGGCCAGGTCTCTATTTTTAAGCCTTGAGTATCCAGCACGGCACAGCAGAAAGTGCAGCACATTAAAGGTAGTAAGCAGTGCCGGGCATGGTGGCGCACGCCTGTAATCTTAGCTGCAGAAGGATCGCTGCTGGGTCTACATAGTGAGTTCAAGGCCAGCCCGGATAGCGAGGGCCTGCCTCAGAAAAACAAACAAAAGTAGTAGTAAGTAGCTGTTAGTAGACTGTTTCATACTCCTGATCTTAAAAGTTTACTATTGGGCTGGGGATTACCTCAGCGGCACAGCACCTGCCTGGCAAGTGCAAGATTGTGAGATCGATTCCCTGTACCAAAAAAAAAAAAAAAAATTAAAAGTTTACTATTGGTTTGCTATTGCTGCTCTAACATGGTATATAGCCGAGCAGCTTACACAACACAAACTTACAGGCTCATGGCTTCAGAAGCCAGAAGTTTAAAATCAGGGTGTCAGGGCGGTGCTCACTCTGAGACTGGGAGGAGTCTGTCCTTGCGTCTCTGCAGCTCCCAGCGGTGGCCAGCAGTCCCTGGCCTCCTTGGCTTTCCTGGCTGTGCCTCTGTGATCCCCTGGTGACCTCCTGTCCGTCTCATTGGCAGCTTCCTCGAAGGGCCCCAGCTGTATTGTATTACAGCCCCATGGCCTCACTCCACCTCCGTTACCTCCATACAGACCTTGTTTCCAGATAAGCACCCCGGGACGTGGCCCCTACAGAATCTGCAGGCAGGAATTTTCTCACCGGTCTTTGCTTCTGTCCTCTGCCTGTCCTCCCTCTCAGAGGCCAGCGATCCCAACTTTCCACCCTGGCTGAGGTCCCTGATGACCATTTGCTGCTGCGTGACCGACTGCTACGTCCAGAATATAGCCATCTCCACCCTGCTGGAGGTGATCAACCATTCCCAGTCCCTCGCACTGGTCATCGAGGACAAGATGAAGCGCTGCAAAAGCTCCGGGCACAGCCCGTTCTTTGGCAAGCTGCAGATGGTGACAGTCCCGCCCATCGCCCCCGGGATGCTGAAGGTCATCGCGGAGGACACAGACTTCTATCAGGTATCCCCACAGGATGCAGGGTGGGCACGCGGTGCGCAGGCCTTCTTCCCCACCCAGACTGTAATCGCTGACTGGGACGAGGAATGTTCAGCTCCAGCTGTAACCTTGTGCACCCTTGTCACCGGGGCTCCTGGCACAGTTTTTGGGCTATAGTTGGGCAGGGAGGGGCAGCAGCAGCAGCCTTGTCTTCTAAGCATGCCTCGCCCAGCGTGTCACTTCTGTCCTGCAGCCGCCCTGCGGCGAGAGCAGCTGGGCCCCCGCGCTCAGGGCTGCGCGGAAGGCCTCTCCCTATACATGGGGGCTGGGTGGAGGCAGGGCACCCACAGGTCCCCTGCTGAGCAGTCAGGAGATGCAGAAGCCCTAGGTGGGGGCTGGGGGAAGAGAGCACCCCGTCTTCACGGCTGCACCCCAGAGTGGGTAGAAAGTTTCCATCTGGTGGGTAAGGAGCAGGTCCTGCCTGCGCTGCGTCCCCCCCACCCCCCCGCCCCAGTCTCAGCAGTCCAGAAAGCGTCTCTCACGCATTGCCACAGAGGCCGTGAGGAAGCCGGCTCCTTTGCTTAGTCACAAGTTTCGGCATCAGAAGTTTCATTTAACTGGATTGTTAGAGGTTACTTTAGAGAAAAAATAATGATGGGGAGGGGCCGTGGCCATCATCAGTTAAATTGATCTGTTTAGACAGATTGGTCAAATAGAAATAAACAGGCCAAACAAACCCAGAGCCAGGCATAGGGGTACATGTCTCTAATACCAGCACTCAGGAGGCTGAGGCAGGAAGATTGCCCCAAGCCCAAGGCCAGTTTGGGCTATGTAGTGAGTTGAAGGCCATCCTAAACTACTTAGTATAGAGACCGTATCTCTAAGTCCATCAGTTGATCAGTCCCATAAAAGTATGTAGTCTGAGGTGCTCCTAGACTGCTATCATCTATGAAATACTAATTCATTTCTTAATCTCAAGGAATCCCTGAGACACTCCTCACCCAAAGTGGGATCCAGCCCCCGCACTGGGTCAGGCCTGACCTCAGGCTCCCTGGGACGTGTGGGAGGCTGCGGCTCCTGCAGACCCTGTATGTTTAAGGAGCTTAGCTCAGGCTTAAAGGGAGGCGGGCTGCTTGATGCGGAGTGTGACTGGGGGTGGAAGGGAGTAGGCCGCCGTGCACAGCGAGGGGACGCATCTGTGGGGTCGACGCTGCCAGGCCGGCCCTCGCCCATCGCGTGGCAGCTGATGGACCCCTGGAGGCAGCACAGTGCTATGTGATCACCCACAGAGTTGGTGATGGCTGGGACCACCAGAAACCCAGTGGGCTCCCTGGGCGCAACTGTAGACACCCCTGTGCCAGCACGGGCTGAAGCTTGTGGAGAGAAATCTTCAGCTACCTGGTGGATTCCCTTCTGGAAAGTAGCGTTGAAGTCTCACCAGTTCCTTAGCCTTCTTAGCTGGTCAGAAAACTCCAGGGCGAACCAGGCGACCCTAGTGCCTTTCACTTCGTGTTGTGTGTTGGTCACGCGGCCCTGGGTGTCAAGGGTTCTCACAAAGCATGTGCAGATTCCAGACAGCGCCAGGAGGCTGGGGCGGGGGCAGCGAGAGGAGGAAGGGAACAGGGTGGCTTCCCAGGAGCCTCTGCTGCCTTTTCCTCTTGCCAGAGGGTGGCACGCGTGCTGTGGGATCAGCTGAACAAGGAGACCCGGGAGCACCACGTCACCTGCGTGGAGCTGTTCTACCGGCTGCACTGCCTGGCCCCATCTGCCAACATCTGCGAGGACATCATCTGCCATGCGCTCCTGGACCCTGACAAGGTGAGCCCTCCCACGCGCTCCGTCCCCCCACCGCCCTGGGCCGAGGCAGGCAGGGCTCTGCCAGACCGCAGAGCCCTCGGAACGCAGCTGTGCCTGTGGAAAGGCTCCCCGGGGAAATGTGCGACTGTTGGCAAAACAAGCCAACATTGTCCCTGTGAGAATTTACAGGGGTGAGGTGCGCCCCTGATCTTCAGGCCTGTGGGCCTGGCACCCAGAAGGCGCACAGGAAGCCACGGCCTGCGCTGTGCCAGACCACGGGCCTGTGCGTGACCCTGGATATCAACAAAGGCCGCAATTCGTGTGTGCTTGCTCACCTGTGTCGGTGTGAAAGGAAGCAAGAAAAGCGGGAGGAGGCGGGTTTTTCTCACCCTCTGGCCAAGCCCCACACGAGACTCCAGAGTCTCCGCCGCAGCTGCCCACAGCTGCCCGGCGAGCACCCTCAGTTACCTCGTGGCTTCGTGCATCCGGAAAGCGCGCTGCCGTGGAGCCGGCTCCTCACCCCTGCTTCTTTCCTCGCCAAGGGCACGCGGTTGGAAGCCCTCTTCCGATTTTCCGTGATCTGGCACCTGACCAGGGAGATCCAAGGCAGCCGAGTGACGTCCCACAATCGCTCCTTCGACAGGTGAGGCGGCTTTTCGGGGTGACTGACCCTTTGCACAGGGTCCTGGCCAGCGCCTTTGGCTAGGGGTGGGGTGACGGGCAGCAGAGGAGAGCCTCACGCGTGAGCCGTGAGCCCTGCACGGCGCCAGGCCCAGGCCCTCCAAGTGAGCCTCAGCCGGAAGCGTGTGCGTGTGTGTCAGGCGTCCTCGGTTTGGCGGGCAGGGAGGGAGCGCTGAGCATGCTGCTCTTCCCGCTTGCCCTGACAGGAGAACTCTGGGGGTGCGGGTGGCGGGCGCCGTTTGTACCGTGTGCACAGCGCTGGGTCACGGCCTGCATGCGAAGCTGCGAGCTTGATGGCAGGTTCACTGTGCCCCGCTTTCCGTGTGCCCACAGTGTCTCTGAGGCAGACGGTGAGGCCGGGCACCCCCTTTCAGAGTTGCCAGCAGGTTCTGATGCCCCGATCCAGCCTGAGTCCAACGTAGCCAGTGTGGATTGAGGCCTGGGCACTGGACAGGAAAAGGTTCCTCCAGGATTCTCACGTGAAACTGAGGCTGAGACCCCCCTCCATCCCCTGTCTGAAGCCAGCTCGGGGAGGCGCCCCAGGCGCCCGTGTGCTGTGCCACCTGGGCCCATCATGTGCAGCCGTGCGCAGACTCAGTGCCGCCCTCCTGCCCACAGATCCCTGTTCGTCGTGCTCGACAGCCTGGCCTGCGCGGACGGCGCCATCAGCACGGCGGCCCAGGGCTGGCTGGTGCGCGCGCTCTCCCTGGGGGACGTGGCGCGCATCCTGGAGCCTGTGCTCCTGCTGCTGCTGCAGCCCAAGACCCAGCGGACGTCCATCCACTGCCTGAAGCGGGAGAACTCGGCCGGTGAGTGGGGCACGATGGCGCACGTTCAGGGACCAAGCAGCGTGAAAGTAACCTTGTGAACTCACAGGGACTCGGCGCGTGTAAGGAGCGCCAGGACATCACTGAGAACTGCCCGCTAGCGCATCTCTGCCTTTCCCGCAAAGCCAGATGGTTTTTATGACAAGGAACATTCTGAAATGCACAATATGGTATTATTAACTGTAGTCACCATACCAGGCAGCAGGCCACTAAAACTGAATCTCTCCAGACTGAACGAACCCTTTACCCTGTCCCCAGCATCTTTGCTTTCCCCTTTTCTCTCCCTCCCAGCCTCTACTGACCACCATTCTGTGCTCTGCTTTGATGGGCTAGATTTGATAGCAGATTTTTTTTTTTTTTGAAGCAAGTTCTCACTATGTAGCCCAGGCTGACCTTGAATTCACAGTGATTGTCCTGCCTCAGCCTCCCCAGTGCTTGGATTACAGATGTGCACCACCACACCCAGCTGACAGGAGGAGATGTGAAATGTTCTTAGCACACACAAAAACTAATAGGCAAGGTATGTTAGCTTTCTTTAATCATCCCACAATGTGCACATATCAAATACAATACATGGTACCCCGTAAATAGGTATTTTTAAATATTTAAAAATTAAAACTTTTTAAAAATTAAAAATGTAAAAATTAGTACAAGACTAAGTAGACATGTTTCAGTCAAAGCAGGGACTCGTGATTCTCTCATCAGAGAAAACAACTCAAATGTTCTAAGATACAGTAGTCAATTTTGCCTCATTGGGATAAGCACACCAACATCTCAATTTAGAGGAGAAGTAAAGCCGGGTGTGGTGGCACGTACCTGTAATCCCAGCACTTGGGAGGCTGAGGCAGGAGGATCACCATGAATTTGAGGCCAGCCTGTGCTACATAGTGACAACCTGTCTCAAGAAAAATTTTAAAAATAAAGGAGAGAATTACCCCAGCTTACACTTTCAGAGTGCTCTGCTCACAGTCGGCAGCCCCAGAGCAGAATGGATGGTGGAGAGGCCGAGAGGAGGAAACCTGCTGGCTCCGTGGCAGGCAGGAAGCAGAGCGCAAAGGGCAGAGCTGGGTCAGGAGCAGGCCCTCAGGTCCGACTGCAGTGACCCCTCCAGGCAGGCCGCACCCAGCAGCACATGGCGCTCAGGATCCAGTCCCCTGCCAGAAACCCCACCTCTGAACACAGGAGACTTCGGGGGGCCATGTTAGATCTAAACCGTGACGTACAGTAAGAAGAGGACAGCAGGGCGTCTCTACAGAGGTCTCCAGAGCTGACACCTGTCCTGCTTAGAGGAGAAGAGCGTAGCTGTGTGTCCAGGTGCCCTTGAGGTGTGGCTTTGCTAGGTGGCACTTCCACCGGATCCCTGCAGGAACGGGATGATGTAGGTGTGAGTGACTGAAAATAGTCAAATACTCGGTCGTGTTTTATCTTTAAAAAGTGCTTATTTAGCCAGGATGGTGGCGAGTGCCTGTAATCCCAGCACTCGGGAGCCTGAGGCAGGACGATTACCAGGAGTTCCTGCCCAGCCTCAACTACATAGTGAGTTCAAGACCAGCCTGAACTACATAGCGAGACCCTGCCTTAAAAAAAAAGACCTTATATATGAACCTTCTACAACAGGTAAATATTTTTTTCTGTCTGCTCTCTGAGGTTCTTTACAACTGTAAAACCTGTTGATCAGATAATCAGGCAGGCAGAAGAAATAAGCCTTTCATGTCATAGAACTCCAGAGGCATCTTGAACACATACTTAGAAGAATATAACTAGAAATAAGGAAAAATTTTAAAAATGAAATAAAGCTGTCCAATCCCTTAAATGTTTTTCTTTTTTTAAATTTTGTCCCTTAAATTCTGCTGATTGATAAGCACTGCAGTTTGTGAACTAATGCTACCTTAATATAAAATAACTGCCCTGCTTTAAAGGAAATATGAAAACAGTTTATTCTGAGCCAGCCATGACCACGGAGTGGGACCCCGGATTACCGTGACAGACGTGTTCCACCACGGAAAAGGTTACGAGAGTTTTTATACTCATAGAACCAAAGAAAGTCACAAATCAGTACATTTACCCATTACACGGGCAGGGGCATTGGATAGAAGCAGGAAATCTGTCCACAGGTTTCAGGTGGGAGAGCAGTCTTCGCATTGGGGGTCGGGGAGACAAGAGGTCTGGTAAACTTGGCTACGGATTCCAAAAAGCATATCTGCTGAGTTTAGTTCAGATCCAGATGTGAAGGATGACTCTGAAAAGAGCTAAGAGAGCCCAAGGTAGCTGGGGCTTTGATCTGCACCCGTCCATCTCTCCGCCTCAAAGGAGAGGCTGCAGCCAGCCAGTCTGCGGGGTCTCTGACGCCGATACAGCTGAAGGAGCGTGTGCTAACGTGTGCTCACTCCTTCCGCAGTAGCTGTGTTTTAGACTTCGCCATTTTTCTATGGGGCAGTTTACAAGCTTGGAGTTCGCTCAGCTCAGGAGGCTGCAAGGATTGTCTGTCCCGCCTCAGAGAGATGCAGTCCCCAGCCCCAGGGGAGCAGAGGCGGGAGGAGAGGGGGCAGCGTCTGTGCGGGGTTCTTGCCTGCACCTGCAACCTCGGGTTTTCCTCTGGGAGGGAAAGAGGAGACACGGGATTATTCCACGTTCTAACAAACGAAGTACACATCAAGCACTTTCTCAAATCTGGCTACCTTCTTGGAGGCTACATGTTTTAGTATTTGTCAGCTTTTTGAGAGGCAAGTTTCAGTTCCACAGTTCTTCAGGATTGGGTAGCCCTGCCTACCTCCGTGTATCTCTGCCAAGGTCTCTTCCAATCGCTGGAGCCATCTGCTGCTTCCTAATCTGAGAGACCAAATTTGCTCTGCCCTTTTCTTCCCCTGGAGGAAGCTAGGTGTCTATCCTCTCTCCCCACCCTGCTTCCTGAATCTTGCAGAAATCTTTTTAAAATCTCACTGTGTACTTGAAGACGCTCATGAATTTCTGATATCTTTTTCCTCCCCCTTTCCCAATCTTGCTTAATGTTCCTGACATAGATTTGTTGAAAGCTGCCTACTAAAACATTTGGCAATATCAGAGACTTCTGGCTCTCACATCTCTTTGAATACTTAAAAGTGCTGTGCATGGCTGATTACAGAAGTGCTAATGTGGGTACTTCAAGAATTGGAATAAAAGCCGGGCATGGTGGCACATGCCTCTAATCCCAGCACTCGGGGAGGCTGAGGCAGGAGGATCGTTGTGAGTTTGAGACCAGCCTAGGCTACAAAGTGAGCTCAAGGGGCCGGGAATATAGTTCAGCGGCACAAGCACCTGCCTAGGAAGCTCAAGGTCCTGAGTTTGATTCCTAGTACAAAAAAAAGTGAATTGAAGGCCAGCCTGAACTGCATAGCAAGACCCTGTCTCAAAAAGACCAAAAAAAAAAAAAACAAAAACAAAAAAAAAACAGAAAAAACTTGGAATAAGGAGGAGGTAAAAGCATAAACAGAAGTCCCTAGAGCTCCGCCCTGAGTGGTGCGGATACCCTGCGGGCCTTTTCCATGGCTGTGTGGTAGATTCCATCCCCCAGGGGAGTACAGTCGGTGCAGACTGGCCTGACCATCCCTTCAGATGTCCCTGTATCCTGCACACTACTTGCATGAGTGCCTAGAAAGGCGTTTCCACACCCGAAAACACCGTGTACTTGACTATCACAGGTGCACCTGGCTGGTTCCGCTCTGGCCTCCGCAGATCTTCTGTCCTCTCTGCAGTTTGTCCACACATGACGTTTCAGGGGCTCCCCTCGTCCTGTCCGCAGCTATGCAACTTTCTGTGACATTCCTATGGGAGACATTTCTAGGAAGGGCGTTCCTGAGACAAAAAATGATGCGCATTTCTTCACACTGCCTTCCCACAAGAGTAGTGATAACTCAAATGTCCTGTGAGACCGTGGCTAAATTATTCAGCCCTTGAGCATTCTAGCAAACCTGCTCACTTACCCTGGTCCAGCTCTTGTCTATACTGTGATCGAGGCTCTGCTGGGTGGTTTCACGTGATGATGCCATTGACATTGATCTTTCAGTCAGCGTTGGGGCAAACTGATCATCTCTAACCCTCTGTTCTAAAGTCGTCTGTCATCTTGTGGTTTTCAGAGGACTTGCTTCGTTGGTTTCACAGGAAGAAACCTTCCTTCAAAGAGGCCAGCGGGGCCTCCGAGCTTGCGGAAGGTGGCTCCGAGGAGCACCTGCCCCTGAGCCAGTTCACCACAGTGGATCGCGAAGCCATCTGGGCTGAAGTGGAGAAGGAACCCGAGAAGGGCCTACCTCGCAGCGAGCTGAGTGAGGAGGACCTGCCCTACTACGTGGGCCTCCCCGACAGGGCGGCCCCCAGCGCCCCAGACAGTAGTGAGCACACTGAGTCTGCAGACACGAGCTCCGCCCACACAGACAGTGAGAACACGTCCAGCTTCTCCTCCCCGTCCCATGACCTGCAGGACCTGAGCCTCGAGGACAACTGCTGTGCGCCCATCCCCGTGGGGGGCAGGGTGCAGCCCAAGTGCTCAGCCTTGCTGGCAGCCTTCCAGCCCGAAAGCCTGAAGTCCAGTGCCAAATTGAGCCTGGTGCGCGCGGACTCAGACAAGACGCAGGCTTCAGAGTCGCTGTCCAGCGACGAGGAGGCGGACTTGGAGCTCCAGGCCCTGAGCACATCTCGGCTGCTGAAGCAGCAGAGGGAAAGGCAGGAGACGCTCGAGGCCCTGTTTAAGCACATCCTGCTCTACCTGCAGCCCTACGACTCCCGCCGCGTGCTGTATGCCTTCTCTGTGCTGGAGGCTGTGCTCAAAACCAACCCCAAGGAGTTCATCGAGGCCGTGTCCAGGACCAGCATGGACACCAGCTCCACCGCGCACCTCAACCTCATCTCCAACCTCCTTGCGCGCCATCAGGAGGCCCTGGTTGGCCAGAGTTTCTACGGGAAGCTGCAGACCCAGGCGCCCAGCGTGTGCCCCCACTCGCTGCTCATTGAGCTCCTCACCTACCTCTGCCTGAGCTTCCTGCGCTCCTACTACCCTTGCTACCTGAAGGTCTCCCACCGGGACATCCTGGGCAACCGAGATGTGCAGGTCAAGAGCGTAGAGGTCCTGATCCGCATCGTGACGCAGCTGGTGTCAGTGGCCAAGTCCTCGGAGGGGAAGAGCATGGAGTTCATCCACAGCCTGCTGCAGAGGTGCAAGGTCCAGGAGTTTGTGCTGCTGTCACTGTCAGCATCTATGCACACAAGCCAGAAACGCTACGGCCTGGCCACTGGTGACTGGGGCCGGGCACCTGCGGAAGACAGCCTCCTCGAGGAGAGCCTCATCAACCTGGGCCAGGGCCAGATTTGGAGCGAACACCCACTGCAGATCGAATTGCTCAAGCTCCTGCAGGCGCTCATTGTCTTAGAGCACCGGCTGGGCCAGGGCCAGGCGGACGCCGAGAGCCAGCCGGCGCTGTCCCGGGAGTGGCAGAAGGCACTGAATTTCCAGCAGGCCATTGGCGCCATGCAGTATGTGCAGCCCCACCCTCTCACCTCCCAGGGCCTGCTGGTCTTGGCAGTGGTTCGGGGCCTACAGCCCGCCTACGGCTATGGCATGCACCCTGCCTGGGTGAGCCTGGTCACGCATTCGCTGCCTTACTTCGGGAAGTCCCTGGGCTGGACGGTGACGCCCTTTGTTGTCCAGATTTGCAAAAACCTGGATGAGCTAGTCAAGCTATATGAAAGTGAATCCGTGAAGCTCTCCATCAGGTAGGTTGAACTCTGGTCAGCCCTTTTTTTTTTTTTTTTTGAGACAGAGTCTCTTTCTGTAGTCCAGGCTGGACTTGAACTTGATATGCAGCCCAGACTGGCCTCCAATGGGCAATAACCTTCCTGCTTCAGCCTCCTGAGTGCTGGAGTTAGAGGTGTGTGTGAGCACACCTGGCTTTTGTGAAGCATCTTATTGCTTTTTTTTTTTGGTTTTTCTCCGTTACCGGGAACCAAACTCACGACCTTGCGCTTGCCAGGCAGGCGCTTTGCCGCTGAGCTAAATCCCCAGCCCAAGCATCTTATTGCTTTAGTGACAGTTTTAGAATGAATGGCTGTTTTGCTGTGGATGCCACTTGGAGGGTAGTTCAACCCAGTCAGAGGGTTTCATGTTGGAAAGGGTTAGAGAAGAAGTAGAAGTTCAAATCTTTAATTTCACACAGCTATATAAGTGAGCTCATTGTCAGTGACTCTCTGATCTTTGCAAAATGGCATTCACAGAAACTCTAAAGCATCTTAAACCATCTTCCCAGGGGCTGGGGATTTAGCTCAGCGGCACAGCGCCTGCCTGGCAAGCACAAGGTTGTGAGGTCAATTCCCGGTACCAGAGAAAAACCAAAACCAAAAAAAAAAAAAAACCATCTTCCCAAAGTGACTATGAATGTTGACCATAAAATAATACCAAAGTGGTATCAGGTTAATAATATTCCTTAGTCATTTCGGGCTGATCAGGTCCACAGTCTCCCAGACCAGTGTACAGGCTGAATAAAGAGGCAAAGGGAATGATTTCAGGCCTCCAGGAGGATCAAAGCCCTCTCACAGAACTCAAGATTCTTTTGCAGCTAAGACCACAACCTTCTCTGGGTGGCCCATATTTATTTAGAAGCGGGGAGAATAGTACTCAAGAAGGGCAGGCCGGAAGCACTCGAGGACTTCTCCAAGTAAGGTATTAAGTTAATACACCCAGGAGTGAGACTCCTGAGGCTACAGTCTTTATCTAGTTAAAGTTGGATCCAGGTGTCCTTGGCTGTGACCTTGTCTTATCCTTTGAGGTGTCCCAACTTCACCCAACATTATGGGCCTCAGTAGGGATCAGTGACTCAGAGAGGTTCACTTACTATGAGTCCACTGCCCATCTCCAGACAAGGAGCCTAGGCCTTGGACAGACTCACAAGTAAATGTGGAAAGCCAATTGGTTAATTTAAGTCCATCTCACAGCTGCTTTATAGTGGTCTCCATCAAAGAGGTCCTTGGATTTTTAGAGAATCTATATAGTGAGATCATGAGTTCTAGGCTGGCCTTGAACTCGTGATCTTTCCAAGTGCTGGGATCAGAGTCATGTGCCACCAGCAGGCTCCAGATGCCTGTTATTCTTATGATGATGTCTTATTATTGGAACCCTGTTCATTTAACATAGTGACATCTCTCTGGCTTCTGTGTTTATATGTGGGATTTAAAAATCTTATGGCCTCATTCTTAAAAATTCTCAAAATCAGTTTCTCATTTCTTTACCAAAGCACAACCTCCAAGAAGGAAAACATTTCTCCAGATTATCCACTCACTCTTTTGGAAGGTCTGACAACTATTAGTCATTTTTGTCTTTTGGAACAACCAAACCAAAACAAAAAGGTATGTTTTTTTTTTCCTGAAAGTTTAAGGCAATTTTCGTATGCTGTTTTGTGTTTGTTGGGTTATGATTGTTTTAGATAAGTAGCATATGCGCAAGTGATGCAAATATGCATGCAAATATATGTAAGCAATGACAGTGCATAGGCAGATATGTTTAGGTGATGCAAATGCATATGCAAAGTGCATGCATATATTATGCAAATGTGCAGAATATGCAAATATGTCTGTGTGCTGCAAAGTGTATGCAAATGTATGTGTAAATGAGGCACCTGTGACTTTGACCTCGCTGGCATTCACTCCCCAGCTTGGGTTCCTTGGGCTTTTGCCTGTTGTTCCTTCAGTAACCATGAGAGATACACTGGAAAGCTGCCTGTTTAACTTTAGACTTCTATTCATCTTCTTTTAATGTAGTTTTTCCTTGCTGTCAAGGTGTTTGTGAAATCTGAGTTGGAAGACATGGTAGTTGTTAGTTGTCTCATCCTGTCTGGGATCAATCTGGGTACCTCTAAAGCCACAGTTGAATTTGAGAGTTTGAAATTTGGTCATGTGGCGCGCCGGGCCCCCGGCTGGCTCTCTTCCTAAGAAAGCCATGGGTTGACATGCACAGGGATGCCCGAGGCTGCCAGGCCACCCAGCACACATGTGACTTCCTGGGAGAGAGGTCGGCAGCCCCACCAGGTTCCCTGAGCGCTGGTGCTGCTGGGCAGGAGACCACCACCAGGGCAGTGAGTTCACGAGTCGTTTTAACTCTTAGACTGCTGTGGCGAGTGACCCTGCCAGCCTGCGCAATGCCAGGAATGCCATCTTGGAAGAGCTTCCACGCATCGTTAACACCATGGCCCTTCTCTGGAATATGCTGAGAAAGGAGGAGACACAGAGAAGGCCCACGGACCTCCTGGGGGCCACCAAAGGGTCCTGCTCTGTCTACTTCAAAAGCACCAAGGTGAGAGGGCCCTTCCTCAGGTCTGTCATTTGCTTTGCCTGCCATTGTTCCCCCCAATAAATATGTACAAGAAGGTTTACACTGATAAACAAATGTGCTCCATGAGCCAATTTGGTGACACACACCTATAATTCAAGTACACGGGAGGCTGAGACAGGAAGATCACTGCAAGATCGTGGCCAGCTGGGCACATGGTGAGTTCAAGGCCAGCCTGGGCAACAGACTAAGACCCTGCCTCAACCCCATTCCCACCCCCAAATAAAAGTACATGGAACCAAAGAAGACATCAGAGGTGGAATCTCCAGTTTATTTGTGAGTTTTATGACTATACATGGAATGTGAGTGTGAGTGCTTTCAACCTATTTTCTTCTATTTCTTTTGTGGGGGTGTTTTTTTCCCCAGGGAGGGGGCATCACTGTGAAGCCCAGGCTGGCCTTGAACTTGCTGTGTAGCCTAAGTTGGTCTCAAAGTCGTGATCCTCCTCCCTCAGCCTCCTGAGTGCTGAGGTTATAGGCGTGTACCACTGTGCCCATCCCCTCACACACTCCGATTTTAATAGTTGAAAATAAAGCCCCTGGTTAGCAGAGGCTGGGGTACTTCAAGTCCTCACCTGAGTCTGTAAGGAATTTTTGAGAAATGAATTTACTTATCCAGACCCCAGAAAAAACTTGGCTCCAGAGGCAGCGAGGCTTTAATCCACACTCTCGCCAGAGTGGCGCCCAGGCTTAGATGGGCGGCCAGAGCGGAGAAGCTGTGGGCGTTTATTCCTAACTCTTAGGCGTCCCCCACGGCCTGGGATCGGGGTCGCAGTGTCCCCGGCAGTCCATTCCTGCGGCACCTATTACTGCCCCCCTTCCCGTCCCGCCCCTGCCTCCCTCCGCGCCTGTTCATAGTTATTTATGGCCTTTTGACTTCTCAGGGCCGTAATTCAGGAAAACTTGTTCAGCGGTCACCTCTGATCCCAGAACCTTATCTCGGCGTGAGTCTTCTTCCAGCCTGCGCATCCCTGTCCGCTGTCTGAGCCAGCTGATTCTGTGAAAAAGGCTTCTTAGAGCGGTTAATAAACATGGACCATACAAAAGTATCTTTCTCTCTTACGAAATTTTTGCTAAACCATTACTGATTTCTTATGTTCAGCACCTAGAGGCATCTTTAATTAAGCCACAGACACAACCTAGAGCATTTCTAGTGTGTGCCCCTCAATTTTCACAACTCTGCCTTGGAAGGCGCTAGGCACATGCCCTGCTCATTTTAAATTGGTTAGATAAACGGGCGCGGTGGTGCACACCTGTAATCCTAGCACTTAGGAGCCTGAGGCAGAAGGATCAGCATGAGTTCAAGGCCACCTGAACTACGTGGTGCAACCCTGTCTCAAAAAAACAACAAAAAAATATTTTTCCCATTGATTAGATAATACAGTTAATTAAATGGTGCTTGTTTCTAGAAGGTGAAAATCAAATTTCCTATTTTTTTCTTTCAAATCTGTCTTTTTACTACCCATGTTTGCAGTACCTTCATTATGGGGATCACCTTCATCGTGGGGAGTTGGTCCATGTTCATAACTCATCTACACTTTTTTTATGCCGCCTTCCCCTCCGGTGGAAATCAGCTCTGCTGCTCAACCTAACGCTTGCCTGGCTCCGGGCCCAGCGGAGGCCGTGCGATTCCCAGGTGGCCGGAGAGCGGCCACGCTGCCTGGCTCTTATCTCTCACTGCCCCCACCATCCCCACGAAGCTCTGCATTGCTCCCTCCAGACCCTCCCTGGGCTAGAGATGCGCTCAGTGCTCGAAAGCTTGCCTGGCATACGTGAGGCCCCAGTTCAGGCTCCAGCACCACGAAATACCGTCACTACGATCTCCCTCGGGGAAGGCACTTGTCATCTCTGAGCCACCCCAGAAGGCTCCATGTGCCAGGCCTCTGCCCCATGGCCGGCTCCTTCTCTTCGGGGTCCTCCAGCCGTGACGGTGTGGGGACCCTCACCCGGCAGCACTTGCAATCGGAGATGGCGAAGTATCTATTACATACTAGCCCCAGTGTTACTTGGTAATGTCTTTTATTTATTTATTTTTTTTCTATTTTCTAGACCATCAGACAAAAAATTCTAGACTTCTTAAACCCCTTAACAGCCCACCTTGGAGTTCAGCTGACAGCTGCGGTAGCAGCGGTGTGGAGCCGAAAGAAAGCCCCACGTCACAGTAAGATGAAGGTAAAACCGCAAGGCGAAGATACAGAGAGCCCTCCCGGTCCCCATGGCGGCCCAGGAGGTTTATATTTGTATCCCATGGAACAGTTATTGGGTAATGAGTTAATTCCAATCTACCACTTCCAGTGCAACCCACAGCGTAAATACAAACACGATAATATATCCAAAATGGTGGGGAGTCAAGGGGGTCCTGAGTCCAGCCACAATGATGGCTATCTGGGACAAAGGCCTGCACCCAGGGACGAACCCAGATTTTATTCATTTGTGAAGAGGGGAGTGGCTTAAGGATGAGTGACTGTGAGAGTGGCGGGAAGTGGGTGAGTGCCGTGAGCTGGGCTGGGTAGGAGGCCTGCAGTCCCCTCTGCAATACAGAGAGAATATGCAGAAAGACTAATGTGCGTAACACAGTTGTGAGAGTATCTAATGTTTTGGGGTGGTGCTTCAGCTCTGACGTGTAATCTTTCAAGCCCCAGGAAGTCACAGCCTCTATTCCCAAGGCTCATCCCAGCCGCAATGTGGAGCATTGGCTCACACATCCCACCTCATCCCGGCTCACTCCAGGGAGCAACAGGGGGTCGGGGAAACACGCCTCCCATCTCCAAAGATTACCAGCAGCACCTCGGCTGGACCGATATACATTGCTTAAAGCCAATTGAAGGGATATGGAAAGGGTCCTAGCCAGCCCTGTACATGTCAATACATGGAAACAGGGTCAGGCTCAGCCAACATGGAGGCAATTGCTCCTCCTCCAAGGACAGTGGCCCAGGTGTCCCCCACAGCAAAGGAGTGGAACTAGGCAGTCAGCGCCCCGTTTCGGTGCCTGCATGGACAGGGCTGCAAGGACTGTGGGAATGGCCACATCTGCTTGCTGCACTCTCGGGTTTCTATAATGAGTGTATAATAATACTTTTCTTTGCCCTTTTTAATCAAAGAGGTCTACGAGGATGTAGATCTAGTGTGCCTTTGGAAGAATTTCTTTTTTGGTACCAGGAATCAAACTCAGAACCTTGCACTTGCTGTACAGGCGCTGTACCACTGAGCTATATCCCTGGCCCTTGGAAGAATTTTTTAAAACCACCCGCAGCTCTTTGGTGATTATAATAGCCTCTGATCTTTTTGTTTGTTTGTTTGTTTTGGTTTGGTTTGGTTTTTTTTCCAGTACCGGGGATCGAACTCACCACCTTGCACTTGCCAGGCAGGCGCTGTGCCTCTAAGCTAAATCCCCAGCCCCTCTGATCACTTTTTAAATGTATAAAAATGTCACTTGTCCATGCTGGTAAGGGCAGTGAAATCATCATATCCCTGTTCCCGAAGAGAACTTCCAATTGCAGCTTGTGCCTCAAGTGTCTGCTGGCAGGTCCATCACAGGCCCCTCCAGGGCTCCTGACCCTGCAGAGCTACCCTGGGGCCCCTCGGCACCGCAGTCTGTGGCAATACAGGCTTCCACTTTCAGGGAAGAGCCCGCGCGCCCTGTCAGGGTCGGGTGCCAGGCCTTACTGCTCAGCCCCTCCAGTGCTCCTGACCGCCTTGCACCGAGCTCTGCTGGTACAAACCCCCACATCCTGGGGCGCCCCTGCCGGGGCCGGCCAGTGTAGACCTGGTGTGCCTGGTTTCCCCCTGTCCTCCTGGCTTCAGTTACATTTTGGTGCCAGCCGTTCCCTCCAAGTTAAGGGATGCTTTCTCCTGCAGACGCAGCAGGGTCCTGCCATCACCCACCAGGCCCCACTTGTTGCCTTAGCCACAGCGGAGGATGCTGGGTGCCAGCCACACCCACACCACGCGCAGTCTTCCTGCAGTCCAATGGGAATGCTCGTTTAAAGGATCAAAGCGAATTCCTTTCGCAGGGACTGCCACGCGGATTTCTTTCGCATGTGTTTCATTCCCTTTTCTACCTGTAAGCTTTCAGGAGATTCTTTTTCCCTTGCAGATCATCCCACCGGCGAGCACGACCCAGCTCACCCTTGTCGACCTGGTCTGCGCACTCAGCACCCTGCAGACTGACACGGTGCTGCACCTGGTGAAGGAGGTGGTGAGGAGGCCACTGCAGATCAAGGGGGACGAGGTGAGGCCCGGGGGCCCTGACCGCCGCCCCAGGGATCAGCCCCCGAGTGGGACTGTGCTCGGGAGGGAAGTACAGGGAGCGAGCACAGGCAGGACCTCCGCGGAGTGGGAAACGGAGGTGACACTGCCGAGCTTTTGGAGAGACCCCGAAGCCTTGGGCCAGGCTCTGTCCACAGTGTCCCTGCTGCAGTGCCCTCTGCATGAAGCGCGGGTTCTCGGCGCCTTCTGCACATCCCACGGAACAGACTTTAGGAAGAGGAAATGTCACCGCCTCGAGGAACTTACAGCCTGAAGGGTGTCAAATCAAACCAAGCCAGACCCTAGTGAGAGGTGGCTACGGTTGGGTAACGGCAGTGCTGGGAGAGGCATGGCTCACTTCCCGTGGGTGTGGTAGTGAACAAAGGGAGGAGGAGGGCTGGGCGGCAGCAGGGAGTCGGGTGAAAGGGGCAGATGACAGCAGGTGACAGGTGAGCCTGGACTTGCCCACTGGCACTCAGAGACCAGAGGGACCTTTAAACCGTCAGCTTTTCATGAGCAAATGCTCTAAGAGGAGTCAGGAGCCCACACACGGCCCACGGCCCCTGGCCCATGTTCCCTGGGCGGGAACAGACAGTGGATTCTTTCAGCTCCGGGGACCCCTCAAGGGCAGGCGCTTGGTGGTGGGGCTAGGCTCTCAGCCCTGGGTGACCCTGGGTGACCCTGCCCTGCTCAGAAGGCAGGAAGTGGTGGAGCCCTCTGGGCTGGAAGCTGTAGTTCTTGCAGCCACTATCAAGGCCCAGTCAGGAAGGCACAGAGGAAGCAGGCTGGAGTTTGGCAAAGGTCAGTTAAAATTTGCATAATGGTTTATAAAGCGAATATCCTGCTGCATCTCAGAGAAGGAAGGGGTTTCACCTGGGCACGGTGACACAGACCGTGCCTGAGCTGTAGTTATCCTGCCCACTGTCTGCATAGTGGTCCGCGGGTCCCTGGAGTATTAAGACCTGACTCAGTGCAGCGTGATGGTGCACACCTGTAATCCTAGCGACTCAGGAGGCTGAGGCAGGAGGATCAAAACCAGCCCAGAAAATTGAACGAGACCCAACTGCTCAGCGCCAGAGCAGTCAGCTAGCATAAAGGTAAGCCTTGAGTTTAATCCCCTGTGTCAGTCAGGGTTTACCAGAGGAACAGATATAATACAAGATAAACAAATGTACAAGGAATTACAAGTTTGGCTTACAATGGTCAGCTACAGAGTTGGATGAGGAAGCGTGCAGAGGGTGTCTGCATGCTGGAGATTGAAGAGCCCAGCCCCGGGCTTGGAGCTCGCTGCAGTGTCCGCGCAAGTCCGTATCAAAAGGCTGATGGGTCTGCGACGGAATGCTGAAGAATCTACGATGAAAGCCGGAGAGCCAACACCAGAAGGCTGAAGAGTCCAGACGGAAGCCCAACAGTCTGCACCAGAAGCCAGGAGACCACCAAGCTGTAGACGAAGACCGAAGACCGGAGCTCCTCCGAAGAACCAGCAGCCAGTCCTTCCTCCATTCCTTTTATTATGCAGTCTACCCGCTCTGGGGAGGTGGGGGTGGTCCTCCACACCCACACCCTCTGCATGCCTGCCTCTTGCACAGGCTCAGGATGAATACAAAGTAAGCACCCCGGACCCCTTCTGAGTTGCATAGTTAACCTTCTAAACTTCTCAAATTAACACAATAAACAACATCCCAGAAGGGTAAGGGCCTGTCCTTTTCACCCTAAGAGGCAGAACTGCTGAGTCACTTAGCCAAACCTCTAGACCCCCCAAGTTGGCACAAGGTATCAACCATAACATCCCCAGGGCTGCTGGAGGAGAAAACACCTCATTCAGATCTACAGGACAGGTTCGGGGCAGGCCAGGCCTTGTGGTGCAGTATTTTCACGTCTTCAGAGGCTTTTGTTTTTAACCAGAGCAGGCCTTCATCATTGAAAGTGTAAAAGGTGATTGGCTCTTCATTGATAAATGTGATAGAAAACAAGGATTTATTTCAACTTTAAATGGATTTTACCACTCTAGATCCCCATATAAATGCCTTAAGATAGTTTTCAACCTTGAAATAAATGGCTTCTCTGAATTAATTCAAAAGCATAGCTTGGAAACAAGTGGCATAAAACATGATTATAAATACACGTAGTGTCGTTCCAACAGACACCTGTCAACTGTCATTGCCCTGAGCGTTACTGACGTAGCCAAAAGTTACAAACACCACAGACGCAGCCCTGCACACGGCTGGATGTGAGAGGAGATGCGGGGGTGCAGCGCGGTGGTGCTCAGGGACCCCTGCAAAAAGGAGGGGACTCCTGCCTCGTGTGCGAGGGGAGCCTGGAGAAGACCGCGTTGGATAAGCCAGCCTCTCGGGGCAGGTGCCGGCTGATTCTGTTCATCAGAGTCAGAGAGACGAAGCGGAGCAGGGTGTCCAGCAGCTGGGAAGGTCGGGCTTGATGAGCTGGGCTTGGAAAGGGTCGGTGACGCTGGTTACACAGCGCGTGAGCTTAATGCTGTGGAGCTTCAGAGTGTGACCAGGTTGAGCATCGTGTTCTGTATCTTCCCACATGACAACGTTTTGTGATAGAAGAAGTGAGTGTGTTTTTAGTGCGTATCACTGGGCTTGGTGAGCAAAAGCTTAAGCCCTTGGGAGTAGAAATTTTTTTCCACCATTTTTTCCCCACAGTTTTTTTAATCTCTTCATGGGAAAAGTGACCGCAGAATATTAGGAGCTTTTTGTTTCATTTTTTTTGAGGCAGGGCCCTGCACCGTAGCCCGAACTGGCCTTGAACTCACTGTCGCCCACCTTCGCGGGCTTCGAACTCAAGGCGGTGCTCCTGCCTCAGCCACAGAGTGCTAGGATTACAGGCATGCACCACCACGGCCAGCTATTTGTCTGTTCTGTTCTCTTCTGTTCTGCTTTTTGCATTTCTAGAGGTCAAATCCAGGGCCTCACACACACAAGGCAAGCACTGGACCTGAGTCACACACCCAGCCCTGTAGTAGTTTTTGTGGATGGACTACGGGGGAGCACAGCCACCTGCACGGTCTCTGTCCCGTTCTGCTTTGTTCTGAAGAGTCTCGCACAGGGCACAGGGCACAGGGCACAGGGCAGTGCTCTTCAGAGGGGCCTGGGTCTGAGTTCCTGGCCTGGGTGTGCTTAGCCAGCCATAAGCTCGGGGTCCACGGCCCTTCCCTTCCTCCCTGTGTCCCGGAAGATCACCTGTGTGCACTGAGAGGTGAGCATGCTAAACAGTAAAATGCTCCATGCGCTGGGTCGCTTACTGTAGTTGGACATAAAGCCCGGTAACAGTCACGCTGCAAAGGCGGATTATGGAACCAATGGAGTACTTCAGTCGTCGGATGCACAAGGACACAGGGAGATAGATAGCTGGACAAAAAATCAGCAAAGAAATAACAGAACTAAACCAAACCTGTGCACAAATGGACTTAGTAGACCTTTACAGAGTGTTCCTCCCAACAGCATCCGAGTACACATTCTTCTCAGCTGCGCACGGGACGTTCTCTAAAATAGACCGTATACTAGTACACAGAACATGCTTAAGTAAGTGCAAAGGAATTGAAATTGTCCCGTGCATGTTATCTGACCATAGTGCAATGAAATTGGAAATTAATGACAAAAAAATCATAAAACTCCATAAACATATGGAAACTAAATCACAAGGACACAGGGCACTTGTCAAGCTCTGTCCTAGGCATTCCGAGGTGGCGCAGTCACCCAGCTGCAGTCACTCCTGGACAAGTAGAGAAGCAGCGTAGCCAGGAGAGGTGCAGGCGTCCTCGGTGACAAGTGTCCAGGGCTCTGAGCAAGGCCAGGTGCCAGGGTGACCCCCCTCCATGCACAGGGGAGGGGCTGTGCATGCGGCTCTCAAAGGGACAGAGGACACTTCAGCATGTGCTGCCTGTCCCCTCGAAAGCCTGCAAGGGTCTGCAACTCCTGCTTTGTGCGGGCCAGTACAGGGACTGGGTCTTGTCTGACTGGCTGACTTTTGGTGGTTCCAATAGTGAAACTTGTTTTTGTGGCTAGTTTGGTTCTTTGGTTCAGTTTCTGCAAGTGAGTTTTTCTACACGGGGTTGAGGGGTGCCTTGGACCCAGTTTCTAGACATCATCTGGTCCGGGTTTGAGGGGCTCTGAAGGCCTGGGATTTTTCCTTGACTCCCGTCAGTAATCTCAGGCGTTAGGATCAGCACTGGCCCCTGGCACTCTGGTTGGGGAGGCTCACTTGGGGTGCTGGCGGGAACGCTGGATGGACGGAGGTGACCAGAGTGGGAAGGCGTGAGGCGCTTAGCCCAGAGGGCACAGGGTCTGAGACCTCAGGGTACGGTTTTGCTGTCCGCCAGAGGTGCCATTGTGTGTTGTATTTTATCTGAAAATTCTCTGGCTAGAATATAGAGCTGTCGCGTTTTGTATTTGAATTCTTCCATAACTGAATGTGCTACTGCCCTAGGGTCATGGGTTTTGCTTTACTTTTCAGAAATCGCCCCTCGTGGATATCCCTGTGTTGCAGTTTTGCTACGCTTTTCTGCAAAGGTAACGCAGCCCTGCGCACCTTTCCTGCGCCACTGCAGGCGCTGGTGCGGTGACAGGATTGATAGTAACAGGGGGGCCGTGTTAAGGGTGTCTCCTAAGGTGTCTTCATTTCTGCCCGGCTTGGGAATGGCTGGAGTCTTTACTTTTCCTCCTCCCGGGATCTCACCTAACGTTGTAAAATCCGTGTGCTGTATATCAAAGACTTAATGTCAGCAAAGCTTTATATAAGACCTATTAAACTTTAGAAGATTCGGACTTATGTCAAAATTGATGCAAAAGTATCTCTGTCTTCCTGAGAAACCACTTCGAAGATACCACCATGTATTGCAGCAGCCATTGATTTTTTTTTTTTTTTTTTTTTTTTTTTTTTTTTTTTTTTGGTACCGGGAACTGAACCCATGGCCTTGCGCTTGCCAGGCAGGCGCTTTGCCGCTGAGCTAAATCCCCAGCCCCTAGCCATTGATATTTTCCTACTAATCTATCCATAACTCTGTAATGTTTGTATTGTTCCTATGCTATTTCGTAAATGGATGCATGTCTATTATTATGTGTTTCCTACAACAACCATTGAGAATAGTTAATGACTGACTATTCAATAGGTCACTCATGTATAGCTCTATTTATTTTCTTTAGAAGCCACTTTGAAGATACCAAAGTGTAGTACAACTATTGATAATCTCCTACCTCTTTTGTCTGTAACTCACTATTGTCTATTTGCTTTCCTGAGAAACTATCTTGTAGATAACAATATGTAAAATAATAACCATAGATAATTTCCTACCACTTTGTCTGTAATTTGGTAAGCCCCTCCTATTATTATGTTACCCTTCTTTTACTCTTTAAAGTTAAAAAAAAAACAAACAACAACAAAAAAAATTGATGCAAAAAAAAAAAAAGACCCACAAGTAGAAAGTGTTAAAGACCCCTGACAAAGTGGAGAAATAACTCAGTGGCGTTCACAGTGTCACCAAAGGTTTGTGGAGGGGCGTTGCACTAGGAGGCTCCCACGCTTGGCCTGTGTGGGCAGGCTCCTCCCCTGGGCTCCCCGAGCTTACACCAGGGCAGCTTGGCAAGCTCAGCTCCCAGAGCCTTCCCGCAGGCACGGCCCTCCCGGCGCAGTGGATGCAGGAGAGAAGGGGCGCAGATGTGTTCTCAGGGCAGCGTCAGGCGCCTTACAGGCCCACCGGGAGTTTTGCAGTAAATAACCCCAACAACGCCGCAGCCTCCGTGGCTCCCACGGTCAGCTCACCAGTGACCGCCCTCATACACTGCGTTTACGTTCTGCACTTGCGGCACACTGAGGGTCAGGGTCCCTGGAGCCCCTGGGTCGGGGGTCGTAAACTCAGACCCAGCTGTTACTCATCAGCCCTTGACCATGCTTGCCTTTCTGTCCTCCAGGGGTTAAAGATGAGGCAGGCACTTCCTCCTTGTGAAGCAGTGTCACAATGCTAACGAACTGTAGTCGGAGAGGCCTCCTGTGGTCTCTGAGGCGTCCCAGCAGCTGGAGGGGACATGGTTGTGTCATCCTGCCCTGCAGACTGGGCCCTGGCTGGCTGGCACGGGAGGCAGTGAGCTGGGGTCCAGGACTTGGCCCCGTCTCTCCATCTGCACCTGGGCTTTAGCAGACTAGTGCTGTGCTTTATGGCTCTGGAGCCGTGACGTCACTTCCTCCTGCCTCTGGCTCCCCAGAAGCCTAGCCTGGAACAGATTCCTGGGGGCTGTCCCCTGTCCTGCCACTCTGCAACCTGCTGCCAGATGATGTATCTGTCAGGGAAGCACAGTGTTAGAAAGACCAAAGCAAGAGATCAAAGCCAGGGGCTGGGGATTTAGCTCAGTGGCAAAAGCGCCTGCCTGGCAAGCGCAAGGTCGTGAGTTCGGTTCCCGGTACCGGAGAAAAACAAAAAAAAAAAAAAAAAAAAAGAGATCAAAGCCAATGCTCTAGTGTGAGGCTTTTATTTTATAGAAGAGGAAACCAAGAAGGGCTCACCTTTTGGTATTCCAGGTCTCCTAACTTCCAAGTGCTTGCACTGTACCAAAATTGAGCTTAGATATATTGTAATTTAAAAAAAAAAAAATGCTAGGCATGGTGGTACATACCTATAATTCCAGCACTTGGGAGGCTGAGGCAGGAGGTTCACCCTGAGTTCAAGGCCATCCTAGGCTACATAGTCAGTTCAAGGCTAGTCTGAACTACATAGCGAGACCCTGTCTCACGCACCCAATCAAAAAATAAGAAACAAGTCAGACATGCTGTTTTCTCTGCTAACGCCTAGATCTAAAATGTGCTTATAAGTTAATGTCGGGGGCAGAGATATAGTTCAGCAGCACAAATGCTTGCCTGGTAAGCGCAAAGTCCCAAGTTCAATTCCTAGTACCAAAAGTAAAAAGTAAATACCATGTTTTCACTTGCCCCTGGTTGAGTATTTCTTCCAATTTTTCTTTTAAACAGGCTCCCAGGATCAGCCTTGCAAGAAAACTTTCTCTCGCTGTTGGGCGTCCTGAAGGAATCTGTGCAGCTGAACCTGGCGCCCCCTGGGTATTTCCTGCTGCTCAGGTATCACCCCCTGACCTTTATGTGGACCTAGTAATTTATTGGAGCATATTTTCATTTCTGCAGCATTTCTGATCAGAAGCTGATTGTCTCCCAACAGCCTGCTGAACGACTTTGTAACCAGAACGCCCAACCTGGACAGCAAAAAGGATCAAAAAGACCTGCAGGTCTGTATGGGGAAAGGACTTATAGCACACCGTTGTTATTCTAGCTGTGACTCCCCTCTTTAGAGTTGTTAGGGGATGTCACTGCCGCAAGGAAACTACAGCAGCCCATTGCCTTTGCCCTCCCCTGACCTCCGCCCTGAAGGGGCTCAGGGCATGCTGGTGACACTGGGTTGGGATGGAGCGGGTGCCCCTCCCTCGGGCTCGCCTAGAAGCAGAAACCGTATGCGCAGAGGGTTTTCCTTAAGGCCTTTTATTTTCCCCTCTTGTAAATGCAACGTATGCTCATTGAAAATACTTAAAAACAAAAGCAAACCTTGTCTGGAGCACAGAACATCTTGTTAGAGTAGAACATCACCTAATAAACATAGATGTCACGAGGGAGTTAGCAAATCTGGATTTTGCCACTGTAGCATCAATTGCCTTTTTTCAGAGGCAGATTTAAACGTGGATTTACAGCATCCCTCAGTTTGAAGACCCCACCCACCGACACCAACTTCCAAGGACTATTAAGCCTCTGATATAAAGTGGCATAGGTGGGGCTGGGGATATAGCTCAACCGCACAGCACCTGCCTGGCAAGTGCAAGGTCCTGAGTTCGATTCCCGGTACCAAACAAAACAAAATAAAATGGCGTAGGTACTTGATTTACTAGAGAAGCACACAGAACTCAGGAAACACACGCACTGCTTTACTGCCACAGTGACCTGGACAGCTCTGGGTGAAGAGTAGAGCTGCGGCCAGGCACCAGCCTCCAGCACAGGGAAGCTGTCCCCCCCAGCCTTTACACAGTTATCATGCAGCTTCGTGATAAAGGTACCACCAACCCCAACACTCCCTCTCCCGGGAGCTGGGAGCCCTCTCCTCCCGCCTTGATCTTATCAGGCCCGGCCCCTGTCATAAAGCCCTTCCGGGGCCCCCAGCCCCTGGTCAGACTGCTGCATCCCAGAAGGTGCTTGGCACTGGGGAAAGGGCAAGATTGAGGAGCTGCCTGCTTGGGGAGTAGGCAGAGCAGTTACATACCTCACCGTGTCACTCCAGTGCCCTGGGCCGTCACCTCCCCCTCCCCCAGGGGTCACCAGCATACCCCACTGCCGTCAGGCAGAGGGCCCCTGCTTCAGGCCCGCACTCAGCTGCTGACCTGGGCCTCGTCCCGAGGGCGGGGCTGCTAAACGCCACTGTCCATGATTCCAGCTGCACTGGCTGGTGATGCCTAGTGTGACCTTGCCCCGCTGCGGACCTCGTCCTTGACTGCTGATGCCCCTGACCGCGGGGCGCCTTGCCTCACTTCACTCCCTCCTTTCAGTTTGTTAATTTTCTTTTCATATTGTGGAAAGAGGCATTTCCAGTGCTAAAAGACAAAATTACAACCGTTTTGTTTAAAGATTTTGAGTGCCTTGCTGGAGTCTAGAGTCGGGCAGCACTGCAGTCATTCCACGAAACAGAAGCCGTGGTCGGACGGTGAGCACAGGGCTTGGGCTGCAGGAGCAGGCACCGGAGCGTCACCGTCCTTCACAGTTCCCATTCTCAAAAAGGGGGGACAGGAAGGCAGATAATGACCAAGAAACGCCAATCGGTTAATACCGGGTTACTGCAGGTTCCTTTTCATGCAGGAGTTAAGGCGCAGGGACCTCAGGATCAGGCCCATGAAACCGACATGCTTCAGAAACCCGGCTGTGGGCTCTCCAGTCCTGATTTCTCAGAGAATCGGGGAACAGCTGAGCTTCAGCTTGGGGCGAACTTTAGCCTGAGGGTCTCTGTTTCGATTTGTGGCCTGGCCCACTGGAACCAGTGCAGGCAGCTTGGCCAAAACCAGTGAAGTGGTGTCATGTACAGGTACAAATTCTCGGGGGCTGGGGATTTAGCTCAACGGCACAGCACCTGCCTGGCAAGCGCAAGGTCATGAGTTCGATTCCTGGTACCGGAAAAAAAACAAAACCAAAGAAACAGGTACAAATTCTCTACAATGATTGTGATCATTATGTACACATAAAAGGTACAAATAAACTTCATTAATTAAAAAGAAAAAACAGTGGCCTCAGTAGAGGCTACATACTGAGTTCAAGACCAGTCTGAACAACATAGCAGTACCCTGTCTCGAGAAAAAAAAAGTCCGAGTGTGGTGTCACCATGCCTCTAATCTCAGCGTTTGGGAGGCTGAAGCAGGAGGATTACTGAAAGTTTGAGGCCAACCTGAACTGCATAGCAAAATTTTGTCTCAAAAAGACAAAAAAAAAAAAAAAAAGAAAGAAATAACAGTGGCCTCTTGGGCACAGTGGTGCCTGTAATGCCAGCACTTGGGAGGTTGGGGCAGGAAGATTGCTATGAATTCAAGGTCAGCCTGGGCAACATAGTAAGTTCAAGACCAGCCTGGACTACACAGTAAAACCCTGTCTCCAAAAAAAAGTGTAAAATCTCATTAATCATTTTTATATTGATTGTATTTTGGAGCAGTTGGGTTAAATAGAGCGTGTTACTAAAATTATTTGCCTGTTCCTTTTTACTGTTTAACATTGCTCCCAGGATTGTGTGTGCGTGGCTCACGGCCACGGCTTGGGATCTGCTCTTAGAAGGTGTTACCTGTATCCTGCACCTCTTGTCCTTAACCGACTTCCTTTTCTCTTCTGTGGGTCTCAGGAGATCACTCAGAAGATCCTGGAAGCCGTAGGAAACATCGCTGGCTCTTCCTTAGAACAAACCAGCTGGCTCAGTAGGAACCTAGAGGTGAAGGCCCAGCCGCAGGTCGCTCTAGAAGAATCAGACACGGAAGACAATCTGCACGGTAGGTACAGGGGCCGGAAGTACCAATCACAGGCAGCTAGGCATCCCAGTGGTGCTGGCTCGCCCTCCTTTGACCCAGAGATAACAAATGAAAAGCCAGCCTGAGAAGTATGAGCAGGTAGGCAGAGCTCCAAATGAAGAGGAGAGAGAGGGCCAAGGGGCTTCAGCCTGAGCTGAAGGAGACAGGCTCGTCCTCTGGCTCATCAACAAAGAAGTGCAATCGCTGCATGCAGTGGTGCATACCTGTAATCACAGCAATCTGGGAGGCTGAGGCAGGATGATGGTAAATAAAGTTCTTCCTGGCAATTTAGCAAGACCCTATCTCAAAAAATAAAAATGGCTGGAGATGTAGTTCAGTGTCAAGGCCCAGGGTTCAGGCCCTGCCCAGCAGAACAAACAAATGGAAGCAGTGGCAGGACCTTTTTATTCTTGTGCACAATCACAGGGGCGGACTGAAGTCCAGGAATTTATGCTGATCCTGGACAGTTTCAAAAGGTGTTTCACCTCCTGTGCCAACCTCTGGGCCTTGAGGAAGGGGTGGCCGGGGAATCCCAGAGCTCTTGCATTCTTTCCATCTGCCACCCGTCTCGCGTGAACCTCTGGCCTGGTGAGGAGGACAGACGCTGCAGTTGTTAAGGGGACATGCAAAGTGGGGAGTTAATGGAAGAACACAGAAATCGCACATTTAACCAGGAACACGTTGAGGGCCTGGGAGTTCGTGAGTCCTCTGTCCCTCTGCAGTGACCCCCAGCAGTTCTGCCCTTTCATCTGATATAGTTTTAGATCCCATGGTGAGGGCGTCCTTGCGTTACGAGCCTGGTGTTTCCCGTGGGGCACTGTGGTCGAGGGGAGGGCACACCGTGCTTTTCACGGTCAGCAGCCCTGGATGAAGGCCCCAGCCTGGGCCCGCATTTGTCTCACTAGTTTTTCCTTCGGTGAGATCTTAAGTGTTCTCACCACCAGAAAACAGGAATAAACTGTGAAGACAGGGCTGAGGGGGGTGTTAAGGAACCTGACTGTGGTTATTTCCCAGTGCACCCGTCTATGAAACCAGCAGCCTGCAGTCTGCCACGTGAGCCATTTCCATTTCACAGTTAGACCTTAGACAGCTGGGGGCGGGACGAGGTATGGAAATTTTTTTTAAAGTATAAACATAGGAAAAAGCATAGTGCTTTCATTTCCCATTAAGAAAGACAAAAGTCCAGCGTTCATTTAATTTTAAGTGATTGAGAATTACCATATCTTGTAAATGGAGATAGCGTTAAAAACAGCATGCTGTGTACATAGACGGATGCTTTTGGTTCCAAAGAGTATTGTACACTAGAGCGATGTGATCATAATAAAAGCGAGATATTTCTTTGTAAGCTCTGGGGAGGTCAGGACTGGAGCCCACGAATTGGCTTGAACTAAGTGCTATGGCCACACATGTTTTGGGCAAGTGCTTCCCGGGCAGAGAGGAAATGATTGAGACTGCAGCGTCCACGCTGGCCCTGCGAGCATGAGACAGACCAGGGCTTCGAGAAGCTGCGGCCTCCTCGCTGTTGGCCTGTCTGCCGGCTGGTTAATGTCTAAGGAAAAGAACTTTACTTCAGTTTGGCTTCTGGGAGGCCTTGTGCTGCATCCTAACAAAGCAGAAAAGCAGAAGGGCAAACTGGCGTACACAGAAAGGGGCAAACAGGAGTGGCAGCCTCGCTTTTTAACACCCCACTCTCCGGGTAGCTAATTCAGACCTGTGAGGATTAACCCGGTGCTGCCACAAAAGTAGGCATGCCATGTTTGTAATCCCACGACTTGGAAGGCTAAGGCAGGAGGATAGCCACGAATTCGAGGCCAGCTTGGACTACACAGTGAGACCCAGTCTCAAAAAAATGTATTCATGCCCCTTCACAGCCACATTACCTCTGAAAGGCACCAACTCTCAACACCACCACTGTGGCACTTAATTTCAACATGCATTTGGGAGGAGACAACCCATATTCAAACTACAGGTGGTTTTAGCCAACAGTATATTTTACTGAGTGCGTTCTTCAGAGGAAAAGAGAAAAAAGTGAGGTATGGTAGTCACTGTCCTTGTTACTGACACCCAGAACTTAAAAGGAGAGCTGATTTGGCCTCACCGCTCAGGAGTGTCAATCCATGTTGGGCTGGCTCAGGCAGCAAGGGTCTCATATCATGGTAGGCAGGAAGCAGAGAGAAGGGAGGAGCCGGAGAGGAGGCCTAGTCCTCCCAGGCCGCACCCCGGTAACGCTCCTCTGACCCACCCCCACCTCCCAGCACCAAGCGAGCTGTAGCACCCCAGAATCCAGGCACCTTCCACAAGCCCAACCTCTGAGCATAAGAGGCTTGGGGCCGACAACCAGGTAGGACCGTAGGAAGAGGCAAGGATGTTTGCCAGGCAGATGGGAAGGCGCAAGTGTCCCTGCAGAGGATGAGGCGTGAGGTGTTGTTACCGGGTTAATAATATCCCTTAGTTTTTGCAGGCTGATCAGGTCTACAATCTCCCAAACCAGTGTATCATGAAGGCTAAATAAAAAGACACGAATGGAATGATTTCAGGGCTCCAGAAGGATCAGCACCTTCTCACAGAATTCAAGATTCTCTTGTGGCTAAGACCACGACCTTCTCAGGATTGACAGTATTTATTTAGTTATCAAAAGAAGGGAGGGGAATACTCAAGGGTGGAACCACTCAAGGACTTCTCCAAGTAAGGTACTGAGTTAATCCACCCGGGAGTGAGCTGCTTGAGGCTACAGTCTTTATCTAGTTGAGATGGATCCAGGTGTCCTTGGCTGTGATCTTGTCTTATCCTTTGAGGCTTTCCGGCTTCATTGGCCATTACAGGCCTCAGTAGGTTCACTTACTATGAGTCCACCACCCATCTCCAGACAAGGAGCCTGGGCTTTGGACAGACTCACAAGTAAACCTGGAAAGCCAGTTGGTTGATTTAAGTCCTGCTCTGAGCTGCTTTGTAGTGGTCTCCCTCAGTGTTATGACAGTGGGAAGCTCAGGGAAGGAGGCCGCAGGGAAAGCACCAGGGTGATCAGAGCCGGAGACGAGGTTTGGGGAGTTGCTGAGGCCGGGGTGTGACAATGACAGTGGAGCTGGAGCAGGGGGGTCGTTGGTCGAGTGACGATGGGAAGAGAAACGCGGCGGAGACGGAGTCGATGCCTGTTCGCTTCTCCCAGTAGCCTCATCCTCAGTTGCTGAAATTGAACGATACCAGAGAAGAAGGCCTGATATTCACAGATGCAGAACTCAGGGTCCTGTGACGTTTGGGGACAGTAATGGTACCGTTGCCATGATCAGTCACAAACACCCCTTTCTGTCGTCAGATGCTGCCGCGGCTTCGGCCATGGTGTCGGCGTCCGTGCCCTCTGTTTACAGCGTGCAAGCGCTCTCTCTCCTGGCGGAGGTAAGTGCACACCTGCCCACTGGCCCCTTGTGAAATGCTTGGCAGCATCAGGGGCCGTGAGCATCACAGTGAGCTTCCTGTAAGAGAGGGCCAGGGATGTAGCTCAGCGGCACAGACACCTGCCTGGCAAGCACAAGGTCCTTCCTGAGTTCAATTCCTGGTACCAAAAAAAAAAAAAAGAAAAGGAAATACCCAAGAGAATCAGTTTAAATGGAGGAAAGATGTATTTTGGCTCACGGTTTCAGAGGTGGGTTGTTTGGCTCCATGTTTAGTTTTGTTTTGTCTTGTCTTGAGCTTGCAATGAAGCAGATCGTGTGGCGGGGACTGAATGTGTGGCAGAAAAGAGCTGTTCAAAACAGGGTAACTGGGACACAGAGAGAGGAGGGTGGGATATGGTCCCAGTGTCCCCCTCCAGGACAGGCCACCAGTGACCTGCCCTCCTCCCGTAAGGGTCCCCACACCTCCCAGCCTGCCGTTTGACCCGCTGGGGGACAGCCCAGATACCAAGGATAGCAGGCCTCGGCTGCACCGGGACTGTACCTCTGAGGCTCACCTTAGAGGATGACACTTTTCGTCACCTCAGGTTTCCATCTCCTTTCGGTCTCATTCCTGCAGGTCCTGGCTTCTCTCCTGGACATGGTTTATCGAAGCGATGAGAAAGACAAAGCCGTGCCGCTGATCTCCCGCCTGCTTTATTACGTTTTTCCGTACTTGCGCAATCACAGGTGAGGTCACCCCACGCCGGTGCAGGGGGACCTGTGAGAATGGGTTAGGTGACCCTCCTCAGGTGACCGCTCACCTTGACCCTCTCCTCCGCCCTGTCCAGTGCCTACAACGCGCCGAGCTTCCGGGCCAGCGCCCAGCTGCTGAGCTCGCTGAGCGGCTACGCCTACACGAAGCGGGCCTGGAAGAGGGAGGTGCTGGACTTGTTCCTGGACCCCGCTTTCTTTCAGATGGATACTTCCTGTGCTCAGTAAGAATGCCGCCTGATGAAAATGTGCTCCGAATCTCCACGGTTTGGCCTTTGTAATTAATGCGCTTTGCAGAAGGGGCAGCAGACCCATCCCCTCAGCCCAGCAGTGGCAGGTTCCCACGTTAACCATGTGGTCACCGGAAAAGCATGATGTTTTTGTTTTTCCAGTACTGGGCCTGAACTCAACGCCTTTGTACTAAACCGTATCCTCAGCCCTTTTTTTTTTGCGGTACCGGGCATTGAACTCATGACCTCGTGCTTATCAGGCAAGCGTTTATGCCTGAGCTATATCCCCAGTCCCCTCGGCCCTTTTTTTATTTTGCAACAGGGTACTGCTAAGTTTCCAGGCTGAGCTCAAACTTCCAGCCCTCCTGCCTCAGCCTCCCAGAGTGCTGGGATTACAGGCGCGCACCATGGCACCTGGCTGTGATGCCTTCCTTTATGATCATGAAGCATTTCACCAGCTCTGAGCTGGCAGAGCCACGGATTATCTTTGTGGCATCTTACCCCCTGCTTGACTCATGCAGCCCAAACCACCCTACGGTTCTGCAGCCAGCTGGCACTGTGCTGGCAGCAAAGACCCGTGGACACACAGATGTGAGACCGCTGAGACTAGGAAACCTGCCCAGCGTCCCCCAGCCCTCCCTCAGCACGCAGAAGAAGCCTTTCTTCGTGGCAGAAGGCTCTGGGGCAGAGGGTGGAGACTGGGGTAGCCTTTGCTCATGGCCAAAAAGCTACTCTGACCAGAAGGCCTCAGGGAGCCCAGCGCCTTCTGCCCTGAAACAGTGTCCCTCAGTCCGCAGGTGCCCAGGTCCACCATTGTTCAGTCGTTGATGTCAAATGATGCAGTATCTACATAGAACTTGTGAACGTCCGCCCACATCCTTTAAGTCATCCCAAGGAGCCCGTGGATATAGCTCAGCAGCACAGCGCCTGCCTGGCAAGCGTGAGGTCCCGAGTTCAATTCCCAGCGCCCGAAAAAAACTATCAATAAATCATCCCAAGCACACTTGTGATACCTAATACAGTGTCACTGCTGTATAAATAGCTTGGTAGAGTGTATCATTTTGGGAATAATGACAGGAAGAAGAGCACATACTCAGTACAGACACAGTGTTCTTTTTTTGAATATTTTCAATTCATAGTCGGTTGAACCTATGGGTCCAGAACCCATGTATGATGAGGGCGGACTGCTAGGCATTCTGGCGCACGCCTGTAATCCCAGCATTCAGGAGGCTGAAGCAGAAGGATTTCCATTGGTTCAAGTCCACCCTGGGCTACAAAGAGTTCAAGGCCATCCTGACCGGCATAGCAAAACCTTGTCTCAAAAAGACAAAAAAAAAGGAAGAAGAAGAGGGCAGGCAGCAGCCCACTGCTCTGTGGTCGCCCCAGACTAGCCGTGTGGAAGTGAGAGCTAAGGGGCGCTGCTCGTCTTCACCCCCCCACCACTTTCCATCACCAGAGCTGTGAAAATCATCCCCCATGCACATGTTTAAGGACAACCCTTGGAAGAGCCAGAGTGCCCCACCAATCTGTTTCCTTTATGCTAAGCTACAGCAAGAATTGCCAAAAAAAGCTTTCGTTTGGCCTTCCTTCTATCAAACCGTCTGTATCACTAACCTCTTCTCAGAGCGCAGTTTTTAACAGATCTTAAAGGGGATGTTATTTTCTTGATGCTTTTAATCATTTGGCCACCCATTGCATATTTAATTCATTTTGCTTTTTTTAATATCCAGTTGGAAGTCCATTATTGACCATCTTCTGACTCATGAGAAAACAATGTTTAAGGATTTAATGAGTAAGTTCTATGCTCCTTGTCCCCCCTTTAGGGTCAGTGCCATCATAAGCAGCTTTTGCTTCATGTTTTAGGACCTCTCAAACTTTTTGTGGTGCTAAGCTGTGAACTTTGATTCGAGGTGCAGAATATGTCAGGACCCAGTGAGTGAGTCTCCCCGCTCCAGCGTGGCCAGGAAGCCGAGCAGCCTCTTCGGCGGCCTTGTAGTAGGGGATGCCGCTGAGGGCGCCTGGATCCCATCTTGACGTTGGTGTTGAGAATATTAACTTTTCCATAGCTTACTAGGAGTCCACGTCTGCACCTCAGATCCTGTCCAGTGCCCTGCCATTATGGATCAGTAATAAAAGGATTTTTTAAATGCATGGGCATAATAATCACATTCGCTCCCTTAATTGAGATTGTGATTTTCCACTAGGGCAGAGAGGAACAACCCTGGTCTGAATTTCCTGCGCTTCTTGTCATTTTCTTTTTTTTTTTTTGCCATTTTCTGACTGAGATTTATCTGCTATATATTTCTTCCAGACATGCAGAGCAGTTCTTTAAAACTGTTCTCAAGTTTTGAGCAGAAAGCCATGCTGCTAAAGCGCCAGGCTTTTGCTGTGTTCAGTGGAGAACTCGACCAGTACCACCTCTACCTCCCCTTGATCCAAGGTAGGATGGCCGTCTCCTTGCGCCCTGTGCTGCCGGAACAAGATGGCGCCCGGTGACTAAAGCTTGACTGGCTCACAGCTGTGGAGTTCAGGATAGGCAGTCTTGTGTCTGCACCCCAGAAAGTGGAAGGACAAGAGAGGAAGAAGGGCCAGATCTGCCATTTTATAATGGCACCAGTCCCACCCATGAGGGTGGAGCCCCATGGCCTGAACACTTTAAAAGCCCATCTCCCAGTGCTGTTGCACTAGCAGTTAAATTTCAATGTATGTCTCGGACAGGACAGACATTCAAACCACAGCAGTGACCCACCCTCCATTCCCCACTCCAGCACAGATAAACAAGTGCCAGAGAGGACCAGCGCCTAGAGAGCCCCGTAGCATATTTGGGCACAGTGGTCAGGTGTTAAATGAATATTCTCCAGGGGAAATCACTGGATTTCAGAACCGTATTGGTAGACCTGTGGGTAGTAGCTCCATGTGTTTGCCTAGCCTGCCCAAGGCACTGGGTTCAATGCCCAGCCTCATAAAAACAAAATTCATGTGTCACCAAATCTGAAACTTAACTTTCAAAACCAGCTATAATGTCATTTGTTTTTATCAGGTAGATTCTAAAAGTCTGACAGGATAGTGCAGGAATAATGCTTTCTCAGCACTGCCTACTGCTGGGTTCGTCCTACAGGCAGGAGAGTTCTTGGTTTGGTTTTTTTGTTTGTTTGTTTTTGTGGAGGATTGAACCCAGGACCTTCAAACTAAGCTATATCCGCAGCCCTTTTTATTATATTTTCAGTTTTGAGACAGGATCTAGGTAAGTTGCTCGAGCTGGGCCTGAACGCACCATCCTCATGCTTCACCTTCCCAGAGTACTGGAGGTTTGCAGATGTTTTAGTCACTTTTCTCCTTCCTGGAACAAGACACCTGACACCTACAACTAAAAGGAGGGAGGTTTATTCTCTCTCACAGTGTGTAGAGCTCTCATTCCATACTGAGCTGGCTCCAAGGCAGGGCAGCCTGGCAGAGGGGCCCGGCGGAGGAGAGCTGCTCACAGCATGGCAGACAGCAAGCAGGGAGAAAGGGAGGAGGCTTGACTCCCACAGTGCCCCCCTCTTCCACCCAGGCTCACCCTCTAACAGCAAGTCAGCTATAAGCCCCATAATACAGTCCTCTTTCAAGAGTGCCACCTTTGAGCTCAGAGGGCTTTAGGGGGACATCTAGATATAAACCATAACATTCTGCCCTTTACTTCCCAAAAGATTCATGTACAGGTTTTTATGCAAAATGCATTTAATCCATTTCTGAGAGTTGCCAGTGTCCTGACAGCTTCAGAGCTGCTGAAAAGTTCAGCACCAATGTCACCTTTGAGCCATGAGCCAAACTCAGCTGAGTGGTGAAGAGGAAAATGTGAGAAACCAGAGAGTCCGACTTGCTGCTCTTCCCCCAGAAGGAATTCAAGTTTTCACGATGGTGGTCAGCGCCGGGCGTGGTGGCGCACGCCTGTAATCCCAGCACTCAGGAGGCTGAGGCAGGAGAATCGTTGTGAGTTTGAGACCAGCCTGGGCTACAAAGTGAGCTCAAGGCCAGCCTGAACTGCATAGCAAGACCCGGTCTCAGAAAGACCAAAAAACACAAACAAAAACAAAACAAAAAAACATGATGGTGGTCAGGTCTCAGTTTTACCAGATTAATCTCTCTGCCTCCCTCGCTTCACTCTACACTCATGTGACACTGTCTGCCAAGGGCTGTCCCTGGCCGCCCAGGCCAGGCACCCTGCCGGGGCTATCTTGGCTTCTGTGTCCCACAGTCTTCCTCCTAGAAGATGGTGTCATTGGTCCCCAGGGAAGTTGGGAGTCAGAGCCCCAGGCCTTCACCCCTAGCTGCGGCGGGGAAGATGGTAGTTGTTTGATTCGCTTCCTTTTGCCGGGGCCACGACCTGCTGCACTGCACACCGCTTGTCATCAGGACATCTGCAGTTACAGGTTGAAGCCTGGCGTGGTGCGCACACCTGTGATCCCAGCATGCTAGGAGGCTGAGGCAAGAGGATCACAAGCTTCAGCACAGCCCAAGCAGCATAGCAACTTAGCAAGACTCTGTCCCAAAATAAAAAATTAAAAAGAGGCTCACGATACCGCTCAGTGTGGAGGCCCTTGACTCAGTCCCCAGTGCTGCAAAAGGCAAATGACAAAAAGCACAAAGCAATTAGTGTGTTGTTTGTCTTCTGTGGCTAATGAGAAAACCCGAAATGCGCGTTTATGTGACGTCTTTAAACTCTTCTTTCTTTAGAACGCCTGACAGACAATCTCAGAGTCGGACAGACACCCCTAGTTGCTGCTCAGATGTTTCTTTTTTTCAGAGTTTTGCTGCTAAGAATCTCTCCTCAGCATCTGACCTCTCTGTGGCCCATCATGGTCTCTGAATTGGTGAGTGCTCGTATTTGACACTGGAGCAAGGTTAGAGCTTTTAAAAGGCTTTTCTTTATGATCATGTTTTATGCTACTCCCAATGGAGCTTATTTTATGTAAAAGTCAGGAGCACGGAATCAGCTCTTGGTTAAATAGAGAAAATTTTATTTTCATATTTGATCCCTCAGCTGTCAGTTCTTCCAGCTGATTGCTCCCATTTAATAGTATTTGCTGAGTTGGTTCTTTGTGGTTCTATTGGGAGGATTCTGTATGTTTGTTTTCTGAGACAAGGTCTTGCTGTGTAGCCCAGGCTGGCCTCAGGCTTGAAGTGGTCCTCCTGCCTCAGCCTCCTAACTGCTGGGATGGCAGGTGTGTGCCACTACGCCCGGCTTGTTTTTTGTGGCTCTGGAGATGAAGCCCAGGGCCTCACTGCACACTAGAACTGTACCTGACCAATAGACGTGTGAGCTTGGGGAGGTTTTGTCTCCGCAAATAGTAATGGGAATGTGTGTCTTCTCTTTAAGATTCAGGTATTCATACAACTCGAAGACGACCTGAAGGAGGACGATGAGTCCTTGAGGTAAGAAACGGTACCAGCTCTGTGCATGTGTGATTGGGGGACACCAGCCGGGTACGGTGGCACACACCTCTAACCCCAGCTATTGGGAAGCTGAGGCAGGAGGGTCACAAGTTGAAGGCCAGCTTGGGCAACTTAGCAAGACCCTGTCTAAAAACTAAAAGGCCTGGAGGTGGAGCTTGGTGATAGAGCATCCCTAGGTTTAGTATGTAAAACTGGGGGAAAAGATTAGCAGCCCTTCCTGTATGATGGAGGGCTGGCTAATGCTGTCCTCTTTGGACACTTGAAGCAACCACCTACTGGGAAATTTTCTGTGTATTCTCTTTGGTTGGTTAGTGTTTGCGAATACCGAGGCTCAAGCCCAGAGGCACTGTACCACTAAACTGCAGCCCCAGCCCCTTTTATCTTGAGACAGTGCCCTGCTAGGCTGCCCAGGCTGGCCTTGAATTTACGATCCTCCTGCCTCAGCCTCCTGAGTAGCTGGGATCACAGGTGTGCACCCCCATTCCCAACTCTGAAAGGAAAAGCCTTCTAATGGGCTTCTCGTAAGCAAATGGGCTACAGCAGATGTGAATAAACCGATGACAGGAAGCCTGAAGGGGAGGCGGGGAGCAAAAAACTTAAAAAAATAAATTGGTGACAAGCGCGTCTCTGCACATTTACAGAAACAGCAGCAAAATAAACAGAAAAATTTCGGTGGCTGACGGAAACGGGCCCTCGACAGGGGAGATGGCCCCGAGTGAACTCATCTTGTATTTGTCTGCTTGTAAATTCCTGGACACCGCCCTCTCCTTCCCACCTGACAGGATGCCACTGTTTCAGATGTAAGCAGCCGGTCGTCCTTCCCCGTGTGCGGGCGTGCACACGCATACCCGCGCTGTCGCAGTCCCGTGTGCGGCGAGCCTCCTTGCTGTGGGTTCCCGGCCGCGAGCGGCAGGTGCCAGATGACCCGGGACTCTGGCTTCCCAGCGGGGTTGATGCAGGGCTCTGCAGCCGTGTGCGAATGTGTGTGTCGTGTGCTCAGGGACCCCGCTGTGGAGCGCTTGTGAGACAGCGTCGCCGCAGAGTGGGTGTGGGCGTCCGTCACCTGGAGCAGGCTGTCCCGCTCACCTGCGCCTTTGGTGCGCTTTGCCTGCGGGCATAATGCAGCTGCTCCTGTGGTGAATCTCAGGCCTGGGCCCCCACCCTGCTCCCCCACCCACCCGGCCCCTTCTCTCTGACGCCCCCTAGAAAGAGAGGGGTCATGTGGAAATGTGGGCAGATCCTCTGTGGTTCTCTTAGATGCGTGTTATTACGGTAAGTGAGAGAAGCCAGTCTGAAAAGGCCCCACACCGTCTCACCCAGTTATATGACACCTGGAAAAGACAAAATCATAGGTACAGGAAAAAGAGCAGCAACTTTCCGGGCGTGGTGGCGCACACTTGTAATCCTAGCACTCAGAAGGCTGAGGCAGGAGGATCAGGGAGGCCAGGGCTGTGGATGCAGGCTCACAGACCCTAGGCCCAGGGCTCCGATTCTACAGCGCAGCTCATGATGGCCAATGAGGGGCGTGAACCTCGCAGCAGCGCCCCGGAGCCCGGCGGCTGGCCTGGCACTGATGCTGGCCGGGAGGGGCCCGCGGAGGCCCTGTGCTGCTTCATTCTGCAGACCTGGTCCGGGGAGGAACAGGGTAGCATGGGGCAGGGAGGTGGCTCCTGCAGACGCATGAGGGTGTTTCGGGAACGTGGCACGAAGGCCCGAGCTTTTCCCAGGGGCCATGCAACATGGCCCATGACCCCATCGTGTGGTTGTGGGGATGGAAAAGGGGTCTGTGTGTCGCCTAAATCTGTAGAGACAGCAGGTCGATCAGGGGCATAAGGCGGAGGGACGATGCCTGGGGAGAAGCTGCGTTTCTTTGGGATAATAAAAATACTCTAAAACCGATTAAGTTGCCAAAGGTACAGTTCAGTGAATATAACAAGGGCTGACTTGTGCATATGGTATGTGAAGTATGTCTTTTTTTTTTGAGACAGAGTCTCACAGTGTAGCCCAGGTAGCCTTGAGCTCATGGCAAGCCTCCTGTCTCAGCCTCCCAAATGCTGGGATGACAGGTGTTCACCACCACACCTGGCCTGTGAATTAGATCATAGTAAACTGTTTTGCATGTTTTTCCACATGGGCCCTGACCCGGCATGCTTGATCCGGGGTGTTCCTCCAGGTACAGGTGGGCCTTTGTTCCAGAAGTGGACACTGCAGGCCCTGTCTCCCCATCTGACGTAGAAGAGCCTCACGAGGAATGCAAACCCCACACCATCAGGATTCTAGAACTTCTGAGATCAAAATATGGGGTAAGCACTTTGCTTTTAAAAATGATACCCATTTTTAAATGGCAGAGAGGAGAAGACTAAAGAAGGGAGAAAGCTCTTCAGATACCAATTGACTTAAATGACAAGAAATTTTCAAAGTATGTCTTAGTTTTCAAACGTGCAGTGGTTATAAATTCCATCATGTTTTTTACGTGTCAGACAGCTCTTCCCAGCGGCTAAGAGGTGACACCGCCTGGGTGCCAGCGTCCCCCCTTGCCCCAAAGCTGCTCTGTTCCGCAGGCCCCAAGGAGGTGGAGGACCCTGGCCAGGCCCCCTGGGCTGGGCTCAGGCAAAACCAGGATGGAAAGTGCCAGACCCGAAACTCCAGCGGCCGCCCTCCCGCAAGGCCGGCCCTGAATTTCCATGAGGAGCTTATGTCCAGTTTCGCTGCGTGCGCGTGGCTCACAGCGTCTCCGCCTTCCCAGAGGCCCTGTCATGTTTATGGTCTTCACTTCGTCGTGTTTGGCTTTGTTCTCACAGGAAGTTGGAGGCCCTGATGAGATCTCCCCGAAGAGCAAATTTCCACTGCTGCGCCAGCGTTCCATCTCCAGCATCAGGCAGCTGACGCCGTTCTTCCAGACTCTCAACTGCGCCTTCAAAACCCGAGCTCAGTGCCCGGCCGCTGGATCCGGATCCGGAGCGCCGTCCCCGGAGTCCCCTGGCCTGCGCGTCCTCAGGCAGCTGGAGGAGTGTGTGGAGTATGACTTTTTGGAGCATCCCGAATGTTAACGTTTCTAGAATCTGTTTAATCCATTCATTGCTGCTTGGGTGGAAACCGCAATGTGCTCGCAACAGAAAAGGCACAGGGTCGTGCTTCTCCACAACTCTATTTCAAGTCTGAAGGTTCGTTTCAGATCATTTTCTGTTCAGCAGCAAAGCACACCTCCCCAGATGCCTTGTGATATACCTGAATCTCTCTCTGTGTTCCTGCCTCAATCTGTGTGATGGAAATAAAGTTAATGCACCCCCAGCAGCAGCACAGAATCCATGCCAGGACATGGTGGAGGAAGAGAGCGGGCCAGGCGCTCTCCTTGTGGAAGCCGAGGTCTGCAAGTTCAGGCTTATTAAAAGGATGTTATTTTTAATGCTTCCCACAAACGTCCTTTACGGTATTTATTTTGATACTACATTTTAAAGTGAAAATGTATGGTTTTCTGAGAATGATAATTGCTTCTCACCTATGAGCAGAGCTAAGCACATAAATATATCTCACTTTCTCCAACCCTTGCCCATTGAAATCGCATTTGCGCATCTACCTGCATAAGTGCTAGTTGTAAAATTCTGACTGCTGTCAGGTATGGAGGTACGTCATCTCTGCACTCAGGAGGCTGAGGCAGGAGTATCGAAATGAGTTCAGGCCAGCCTGGGCTGCACAATGAGGTGCTGTCTGAAAAAAAAAATATCCTGACAGCTGCACCCTTAGCTCTGTGCTACTCGTAGCCTCCAAGCACACTGCTTTACGCAGATGGATCAGCTGGGCCCGGAACTGCCAGCGGGGACTCTCCTCCCTCCTCTCTGGGGTCTCTCTTTACTATGCTGCAGACATTGCTTACAGTGAAACAGTCCTGGGGCCAGGGATGTAGCTCAGTGGCACAGCGCCTGCTGGCAAGCTCGAGGTCCTGAGTTCGACTCTCGGTACCTTGGTGGCATCTTATCCCGCCCCTTCCCAAGCCTCTGCGTCTTTTCTGCCTACCCTGTTAGCACCTGGGCTTCGAATTGCTTGTCTGCCCCAGGCGGCAGCAGACACCGAGTGTACCCAAACCAGTCCCTGCTGCCCTGTCCCTTTTGATTTCCCCAGCATCCCAGGCAGGACGGTGCGGTCTGGCCTGACAGGCACGTGTAGGAGTTTGGAATTCCTCCAACATCATTGGCTAAATCTCCTTTCTTTCTTTTTAAGGATTATTTTTGGTTGGTTGGTTTTTGTCTTGTTTTTTGAGACAGCGCTGCTGTATAGTTTAGGCTGGCCTTGAACTTGGATTGATTCTCCTGCTTCAGCCTCCCAAATGCTGGGACTACAAGAGTGTGCCACCACATGCAGCATTTTTATTTTTTAAAACAGGGTCTGGTTATGTTGCCCAGGCTGTTCTCAAACTCCTATACTCAAGTGATCCTCATACTCATGGGGATCCTCAGCATCCCCAGTAGGTGGGACTACAGGCCATATGCCACCATACTGAGTGTAATTACTGCAAGCATCCTACTACTTTTTTTTCTTTTTTGTCTTTTTGTGACAGGGTCTTGCTATGCAGTTCAGGCTGGCCTTGAGCTCACTTTGTAGCCCAGGCTGGCCTTGAACTCACAACAATCTTCCTGCCTCAGCCTCCCGAGTGCTGGAATTACAGGCGTGCCTACTACATATTTTGTGCTATGCAAAGAAAACAGTTGTGTCACTGGGCCCAGTATAACCTTTGGGCATCCCAGAACCCCCGGCCTCTTAAATGAGGGCTGAAAAGCAGCAAAAAGCACCACTAGGTATGTAGGTAATCACACAAGTACTTGTGGACAGTTACATGGAAATTATTTCATCTTTCTATGCAAGGGACCGTCAAAGTAAAAAATATTTACATTTGTCACCAAAATTTAAAATATCAGAGTGTGAGATTATGAATACTGTGGATCATGCATGCTTTTCTCTGAGTCACTTTAATTCCAGTTGTGGAGATAATTGTGCCCTAATTAACAGCTAATGTCATGGGAGGTGTGCACAGTTATTTATCAGAATTCACAACAGCGCAAGGACATGAGTTCGGTTCCCGGTACCGGAGAAAAACCAAAAAAAAAAAAAAAAAAAAAAAGAATACAGAATTCACAACAAAATCACTAGCTTGTTCATATCATCAGTAGCCACTATGTCATGAGTAGCAGCCCTGGGGTCTGTCTATATGTTTACACAGTTAGCTTTTCAGCTTCTCATAAAACTCGGGTTTATGATTATTAACAAACCTTTATTAACCTTATTCCTTACCAGAGAAATCCTAGAAATGGGCTGAACACTCGTACATTTGTGTTTATCTGAGAATAAAGAAAGAAGTCATAAGTCAGGCAAGGTGGCACATGTCTAATCCTGGCACTCAGGAGGCTGAGGGAGGAGCGTTGCCGTGAGTATGAGGCCAGCCTGGGCTCCATAGCAAGACCTTGTCTCAAAAAAATAAGTCCTGCAAATGGACGTATACCTACATCTCTTTTGTCAAGGTGTATGTTGTAGTTGAGGCTTGGCAGTGGAGTCAGTTTGCTTGGGTGTGACTCAGCCTCCCAGCACACGAGCCTCGTAAGTACTCTGAGCTATAGTCTTCTCCTCCAGAAGATGGCACTGTCAATGGTGACTGCCTTACGGGGGTAGCGGCAACTATCTCTGTGTCACTTCTGTCCTCTAGTTTTCAAAGTATGAAGAAAAATAAAATGAATGGTTTTGGGGGGGGGTTGTTTTATTTGTTTTTGGTTTTTTTGGTTTGAGAGGTTTTTTGAAACAAGGTTTCACAGTGTAGTTCAGATTGGCCTTGAACTCACTGTGTAGCCCAAGCTGGCCCCAAACTTGTAGAGATCCTCCTGCCTCAGCCTCCCCAGTGCCAGAATGAACAGCTCAAATATTTTCTTCCTCACCCCAGCATGGAGACCACCGCTCTTAGTTCTTCCCAGAAGGAGTGGTGCCATGTGTCACCACAGGATGAGAGGGGTCACTGCACTGGCAGCGGGTGGTGACAGAGTGCATAAGCTCGGCCTGAGTGCACTGGAAGCGCAGCCGTGCAGGTGGGCAGGGCCGTCCCACTGTGCGGACCAGGTGGGCGCTGGCCTGAGGGTCAGGGTTTCCCGTCTCCACGTAGGAGGAGGCACTGCAGCCTGGAGTCCAGGCTGGCGGGAGCAAGGCTCCAAGACCCAGGCCAGGACTGGAAATCCAGGTCGCCTGGGTCGCCGTACTCCAGCTGCAGAGGAGCAGCTCAGCGGGACAGCCGGCCAGGGGAGACCCAGAAGCAACTCGGGCCTGGCAGAGGGGCAGGGCAAGGCTCGGGTTCTTGGGTCAGTACCTGGTGCTCCCTAAAAGCTGGGAGGAGCAGCTGGAACCATGGAAACAGTGGAGGAGTTCTGCCCTGAAGGGTCTTATTAGCACAGGCTCACGCCGAGGCTGCTTACCTTCCCTGGGCAGGGCTGGTGCATGGACATAGCTCATCTCAGTCCCTGCTCATCCTGCTCCGTCCCTCCCTCCGTCTTTGGTCCCCGCCCATCTGAGAAAGCCCTACCTCCTGACTTCCTGTTACCCATCTTATATGTTGCTTTATAATGTGGGTTTCTCATCAAAGAGAAACCATGCCACACGAGCGTGTGTCTGATTTACTTCACATGGGCTAAATGTGCGAAGTGAATTTATGTATCCAGGCCCCAAAAAAACTGGCTCCAGAGGCAGTGGAAGCGAGGCTTTAATCCACACTCTTGCCAGGGTGGCGCCATACACAGGGGGTACCCAGAGTTGAGACGCTCTGGGCCTTTTTGTGGGGAGAGGGTTTGAGACAGGGTCTCACAGTTCATAATGGCTGAATCTTTTTTGAGACAGGGTCTCACTATAGAGTGCAGGCTGGCCTTGAACACACTATGTGCCCTAGGCTGGTAGTCCTCCTGCCTCAGTCTCCTGAGTGCTGGAATTACAGCTGTGCACCACCATGCTCAGTTCATAATAGCTGAATCTTGAAAGCAGCCCGTATGTCCATCAGCAAATGAATGGATAAAGAAAATGTGTTTACACACAATGGAGTACTGCGCTGCCATAAACTTGAGTCACGTGTAGGAAAATGGATGCACCTTGATGAAAGAAAGAAAGATACTTTTATTTGGTCCATGTTCATTAACTGCTCTAAGAAGCCCTTATTCACAGAATTAGCTGGATCAGACAGCGAACAGGAAGACTCACTCCAGGATAAGGTTCCGGGGTCAGAGGTGACCACAGGACAAGTTTTCCTGAATTACGGTCCGGAGAAGTCAGAAGGCCATAAATAACAACAAACAGGAACACAGAGGGAGGCAGGGGCGGGACGGGAAGGAGGCAGTAATAGGTGCTGCAGGGACAGACTGCTGAGGTCACTGCGACCCTGATCCCAGGCCCTGAGGGACACCTAAGAGTTAGGAATAAAAACCCACAGCTGGTCGTGGTGGTGCATGCCTATAATCCCAGTCCTTGGGAAGCTGAGGCAGGAGGATTGCTGTGAGTTCAAGGCCAGCCTGAGATACATAGTGAGACCTTGCCTCAAAAAAAAAATGCAGCTATTATGAATTGTGTTGCTATAAGCATGAGTGTCCACAGGTCCCTGTAATACCATGTCTTCAACTCTTTGGGGAAGACACCTATGAGGGGAATAGCTGAGTCAAATGGAATTTCTCGTTTTAGTTTTTAAGGACTCTCCGTATTGATTTCCACAGCAGTTGTACAGTTCACATCCCCACCAACTGTGCAGAAGGGTTCCTTTGCCCCACAGCCTTGCCAGCATGTTATTATCTGATTTCTTGATGACCACCATTCTTTCTGGGGTAAGATGGAATCTCAGTGTTCTTTTAATTTGCATTTCTCTAATGACATTGAGCATTTCTTCATCGATTGCCCATTTATACTTCTGAGCTGTGTCTGTTCAGTTCACTTACCCATTTTTTGATTGGGTCTTTTATTTGGGGAGTCTAATTTTTTTAGTTCTTCATATATCCTAACTGTTAGTCCTCTGTCTGAAGAGTAGCTGGCAAAAATTTTTTCCTGTTCTGTACATTGTCGTTTCACTCTGTTGGCCGTTTCTTTTGCTCTGTAATAGCTTTTTAACTTGATACAATCCCATCTGTTGATTCTCGGTACTATTTCCTGTGCAACTTGGGCTCTGTTCAGAAAGCCCTTGCCTCTGCCTGTGGCTTCAAGGTTGTATCTATTTTATCTCCCACCAGATTGTGTTTCTTTCCTATTAACATTTAGTTCATTGATCAACTTTGATGTAAGTTTAGTACATGATGAGAGATACAGGTCTGGAATCTATTTTCTGTATGTGGGTAACCAGCTTGCCCAGCACCACTGATTTCTTTCTTTTTAAAGACACAGTCTCAGGGGCTGGGGATTTAGCTCAGCAGCAAAAGCGCCTGCCTGGCAAGCGTAAGGTCGTGAGTTCGGTTCCCGGTACCAGAAAAACCAAAAAAAAACAAAACAAAAAATAAAGACACAGTCTCATTATGTAGTTCAGGCTGACCTTTTGTGTGTGT